ACAGATTGGTAAGACCTACTTGTACCAACGTCTCTAACACTACCACATGACGTAGTAACAGATTGGTAAGACCTACTCGTACCAACGTCTCTAACACTACCACATGACGTAGTAACAGATTGGTAAGACCTACTAGTACCAACGTCTCCAACACTACCACATGACGTAGTAACGGACCGGGAAGACCTACTCGTACCAACGTCTCCAACACTACCACATGACGTAGTAACAGATTGGTAAGACCTACTCGTACCAATGTCTCCAACACAACCACATGACGTAGTAACGGACCGGCAAGACTTATTCGTACCAACGTCTCCAACACTACCACATGACGTAGTAACAGATTGGTAAGACCTACTCGTACCAACGTCTCCAACACTACAACATGACGTAGTAACAGATTGGTAAGACCTACTCGTACTAACGTCTCCAACACTACAACATGACGTAGTAACAGACCGGCAAGACTTATTCGTACCAACGTCTCCAACACTACCACATGACGTAGTAACAGACCGGCAACACTTACTCGTACAAACGTCTCCAGCACTACCACATGACGTAGTAACGGACCGGTAAGACCTACTCGTACCAACGTCTCCAACATTACCACATGACGTAGTAACGGACCGGCAAGACTTACTCGTACCAACGCCTCCAACACTACCACATGACGTAGTAACGGACCGGCAAGACCTACTCGTACCAACGTCTCCAACACTACCACATGACGTAGTAACGGACCGGCAAGACCTACTCGTACCAACGTCTCCAACATTACCACATGACGTAGTAACGGACCTGCAAGACCTACTCGTACCAGTGTCTCTAACACTACCACAAGACGTAGAAACGGACCGGCAAGACCTACTCGTACCAACGTCTCTAACACTACCACAAGACGTAGAAACGGACCGGCAAGACCTACTCGTACCAGTGTCTCCAACACTACCACAAGACGTAGAAACGGACCGGCAAGACCTACTCGTACCAACGTCTCTAACACTACCACAAGACGTAGAAACGGACCGGCAAGACCTACTCGTACCAGTGTCTCCAACACTACCACAAGACGTAGAAACGGACCGGCAAGACCTACTCGTACCAACGTCTCCAACACTACCACATGACGTAGTAACGGACCGGTAAGACCTACTCGTACCATCGTCTACAACACTACCACATGACGTAGTAACGGACCTGTAAGACCTACTCGTACCATCGTCTACAACACTACCACATGACGTAGTAACGGACCTGTAAGACGTACTCGTTCCAACGTCTCCAACACTACCACAAGATGTGATGAATTATTGTTTTATTATTATCATGATTTACATAACTGCTGATTGGTCAATATTTTCGGACTACTTTCATCTCACTTAGCTGTAAACAAAGATGGCGACTGTCAATTAAGTTTTTTTTGTTCATGATTTGTTCTAACAACAGAGAAATTTACGTAAAATGCCACCACGAAATGGTGAAACTTATGCATTGCAGTATTCAAAGCAATAAATGTTAGCACTACTTTTTATGTGCTTTTTTATGATGTAATGGTGTCACTCGTTCCCTCTTCCACCACTCTTGTTCACTTGGATGTAAGTCTTTAAATGAACTTGTTAGAGGTAACGTTTCGTTTTTAATTTCTCTAGAACGACAGATTAAGTAAAAACTATGATATTCTATGATGAACAGAAACTGTCTCTTGCCTTTTGATATCAAATATATCACCACTCGTTGATAAGAGTGGGAAAAGTGTTTGTGGCTTTTTTCGAAATTGACAGCATTTGTGTTTGACAAATGATACTCACAACATACAAATTGTCAATTTTCGTGGCATTTACTTCAGCATAGCAGAACTAGGTTGCAAATGTGCGAACACGGTTCTCCAGTATACACTGAATCTGGTGTGAAAATGGGAAAATGAAGTGTGCACCCCCTTTCTCAAGAGTGCGCCCCTCTCTCTCTCTCTCTCTTTTTTTCAAAAGCTGTATCCGCCCCTGCGTCGTATTTACATGTATTATCCTTTTTGGCGTCATTGCGATTTGTTATTTCTCGGCTTAGTGACCATTTAATATGTGTAGGTTTCTACAGACAAGGAATCCCTTCCTTCCGGGGCGGTGGGGTAGCCTAGTGGTTAAAGTGTTCGCTCGTCACGCAGAAGGCTCGGGTTTGATTCCCCATATGGGCATAATGTGTAAAGCCCATTTCTGATGTCCCCCGCTGTGATATTGCTGGAATATATTGCTAAAAGCGGCGTAAAACCACACTCACTCACTCCTCCCTTCCGCTTCATGATGATTTGGGTCCTTTCTCCTGTTAGTAGCTGACAAATGTTGGTCTCTGCAGATTTGTTGCCAGGTAGCGACAATTTCCCAATGCGGGGGTCTACAGATAGGATTCTCACTGGCTTCAAGGCGATTTGTTTTTTCCCGAATTAGAAACGATTTAATTAATGTTTCATACAGTTTCAGTTCATGATTATTTTTTAATTTTTTATTTTTAAAAAAAATAATTACTTCGTGCACATCAGTCAAGAGGCGACTGAAAGGATCGGGTGGTGATTCTCGTTGTTTACTGATGCGTGTTACTGTATCCCAGTTGCGCAGATTCGTGATATCAGTAACTGGAATGTCTTGTCCAGGTTCCATCACTGACAGACCGTGAGTGAGTGAGTTTAGTTTTACGCCCCACTCAGAAATATTCAAGCTATATGGCGGCGGTCTGTAAATAATCGAGTCTGGACCAGACAATCCAATGATCAACAGCATGAGCATCGATTTGCGCAATTGGGAACCGAAGACATGTGTCAACCAGGTCAGCGAGCCTGAGCTCCCGATCCCGTTAGTCGCCTTTTGTGGCAAGCAAGGGTTGCTGAAGACCTATTCTACACCGGATCGTCACGGGTCACTGACAGACCGTAGTCACAGAGTTGGATTTGGGGCGGTCAGCATTCGTTCGTCGCGCCAAAGACCCGGGTTCGATTCCCCACATGGGTAGATTGTGTGAAGCCAATTTATGGTGTCCCCAGTCTTGATTTTGCTGGAATATTGCAGAAAGTGGGGTAAAACCTAACTAAACTAATTGTTGGAAAATTGCTTCTTGCGGCCTTAAACAACAACCAACCACATGCAGTCAGCATGTGACGACCTGCTGCCCAACATTGGTACTAGTAGTAATCTTTGTATCGCTGTAATTTAACATTAAATCTTAATTACGGAATGCAGTCCGAATGTATTATTTACATGAGAGAGTCAACCGAGACATTTTTTGTTATTTTTCAAATTAATCCCAAAACCGCTGACCACCCTCGTGCTGGAATTACTGGACGTGGCCTATGGTCGCTCTTTGTCCCACAGGGATGACCTCATGGAGAGAGAGAGAGAGAGAGTAGAACCAGTGTACTTGAAATATACTATTCCCACTTTGCTAAGAATCAATTCAATGATTCAACATAAAACTATGATGTGGGCCCAAGTTTGATTTAAATAGCTATGTTTATTGTAAGCATGGATCCTAGGTTTCAGTACGTCATCGCATTTTGTGGATCCCATACATGGTATTGACAGGTGTTTTGTACTTGTCAGTGACTCGTTCCATGACTTGCAGAATGGTGGATTGGTGCTATGAAAACCATTTTTATGGTTAGGGGAGACCGGGGTGCATTGGGACAACTTATTGATGTTTAATTAGTTGTTTGTTGTGAAGGTATGATTCTGAGAAAGAACTTGTTTTTCGAAGTTAAGGTTCTGATACAGAACTTCTAATTATATTCTAAGATATTTAGAATCATTTGTGTGCTTGTGAAGTTATATTCGTCATTGTGTTAATGATTGTCCCAATCCACCCCTGTGTCTCAATGCAGGCTACTACTAGGGCGTATTGGACAATTTTTTATTTGTTTTTAAATCATTCTGTCTCAGTTAATTTCACGATTATGATATAAATATTTGGCTTCCTGATACACTGTTAAAGTGTTGATTAGAAGATGTGTTTATTTCTTTGTGAATCCATTTTGAATGGGAGATAGGCTGCATAAAACAAATTGTGTTCCAATGCACACTGGTCTCCCCTACTCATATATCAAGTGCATAAGGTTAGATTAAAGTGGCTGTTTGCCTAAAGACGTGTTACCATATCATTATTTTTCCAGTTTTAAATGGATACAATTTCAAATTATACATCTACGTTTCGGTAAATTTGTGAATTTTTGTGATCCTTAGCAAACTGTGAATAGTATACTATCATCAGAGAGTGTTGGCAGAAAATTGTAGGGGTGCGTGCAAAACACGACAGGGTTAAAACAACATATTATATAAATGTTTGGCACGATTTCATCAATAATGTGTCATGCTGCGCACCCCACTTTTGTCCTGAAAGTTTATTAAATGACCATTGATACTCTCGTGAATTACGGGTGAAAATGAACTGTGTATTTAGCGTTTTAGCCCTGCAGAAAAGGCTGGGCGGAAATGATGCGGTTCAGGGACTGTAAATCATTGTCTGGTCTGTAATGCTTAGGTCACATATCTACTTTTGCCATGAAAGATTAGTTTACGATGCCAAGCCGGGCTGAAAATCGGTAAAATTGAGGGGAAAAAATCCATCACTTGATGTCGGAAGCACTGTGTTCGCTGGCTTCGTATCAAGAGAATAGCTCAGGTCGTATCACTAACCTACTGAGTAGTACAATGTAGTCCAAAATGTAGGGACTGTTTGTGTTTTTCACGTTTCCAAATGATTTATGTAGTCCTAAAGATATCGGTATATATTTTACGTTTGACATTTTGCTCAGGTATAATCCATATAAATGAATAGTGTATTTATCATAGTTGTATGTAGGACGGCAACTATATTGAAAGTGACACGTTTGAACACATTTTTTCACTTCATCTACTGAAGTACCTTTTAAAACGTTGAAAAAGAAACACGCTCAACCACTCGATTTCGTTTTCACCTAACCTTACAGAGTTGTCGCTCTTGCACTTCCGGCAGACCACATGGTTAAGATGGCGGCTCCCAGTGCCGAGATTCAGTTCGCTCAAAAACTGGCTGCAAATGAGAAGAAAATACGCAATAAGGCCCTGAAGAAACTAAGAAAATATATCCATTCAAAGTCCGCTGCTAAACCAGGTACACGACATCGCGTGGTTATCAGTTGTTTTCATTGTACTGGTATTTCTCACTCCTCGTTGTCGACACGTGAGAGCTTCGTTTTTCGCGCACCAATACATGATTGGGATGGTGATTGTTGATTGGCGACTTTGTTTCAGGACTGACGGAAGAAGATCTCATCAAGCTATGGAAGGGTCTTCATTACTGCATGTGGATGCAAGACAAGCCCTTGCTACAGGTACGCAATCCTATCCAAGGTTTAGAATATGTGGCTGGAAGAGGGGAGAGGGTGTTCGTGGGGCTGGTTGGACAACTTCTGCGTAGGATATCCACTATACTCTGCCTCCAGGCCAATCTCATTCAGACCTTCACTGTAGCTGAAGGGGTCGTCGGCACAGTTACTGCAGATACGTACCCTAAACAAAGTCAAAATACAGAAAAGTACCCGGTACTCTAAAGGGCAGACGAGTCCATATTCCGCAATACAAAACCAAAACCGCATGTAGTTGTTCCCGTTCTACTGATTGCGAGTGGCATTCATATGCATTGCGAAATATCCGTTACTCAGTTACTGTGTATTCTCATTACTTATAAAACACAATCAAATGTATCTAATACAACAGCATGACAGGGTACATTTCTGTATTCTCAGTATGGTGAGGGTACATATCTGTATACAGAAACGTACCTGGGGTACATATCTGTAGTATCCATGCCGACAACGACCCCTTAAGCTTCACTTTATAGTACTGCGTTAACTGAAGAATCAGGAAAACTACTTAAATTCGTGAAATGGAGCACAAACATATTGATGGAAATTATATATAAACTTATAGGTCAGTTGTCCTGGTGAGTATGTATTGACTGGGTCGTTGTCTTAGTAGCTGCAAGTTTTTTCATTCTTCTGTTTGCCATCCTTGCCCTTGTTACTGATCTCTGTGTTTACCACCAGGAGGAGCTGGCAGTCCACATCACAGGGCTCGTCTTCAGTTTCTCCAACACTGCAGCAGCCATGAAGTTCTTCAAGGTGTTTCTGGTGACAGAAGCTCGAGAGTGGAACGGCATCGACAGACAGCGGCTGGACAAGTTCATGATGGTCAGTGAAGGGACAGTTTGTCCTGGAGTAAGACAGAATTGCAATACTAGTCAGTGCTTTACAGCATTTTGTCATGTAGTAAAAATACAGAGTTCTAATGTAATGAATGTTATGTTCAGTGTTATTTACATCAAGCAGAACTTGATAGTCATGTCCTCAGTGCCGCTCTGACTGACTGCCATGTTTCCAGATGACTCGTCAGATGCTGCATGAGATGTTTGTGCTGCTGAGACAGGGACAGTGGGCGGAGGAGATGATTGCCGAACTGGCAACAGTGTTACGTGGGACAACTCTGAACACGGCGTCAGACAACGTCCCTGACGGTTTCGCTATGCACTTGGCTGATATCTATCTGTTGGAGCTTGCCAGGGTTGGAGCCCAGCAGGTGCGTGTAAATGTTGAACAAAGGTTGAGATAGGATAAGGGCCTTTCCTGGCCCTATAAAGTTCAAATATAAAACACTGACATATTGGCCAGAATTGAGACGTGATGAACAAACTAGATCTTCTCTTTTCAACCTAAACCTACAGGAGTAAGGCTGAAGTAAGTGACGAAGGAACAGGCTTACAATTGTTGAAATACACAAAAGTATGTTAAACTGTCATTTGCGAATGATTTAATTTATGAATGTGATGTGGTAGTCTAGGGGTAAATGAGTTAGCGTGTCATACTAAGAAGACACTTTTGATTCAAACGTGTACAATGTGTGAAACCATTCTCACTCAATCACTCATGCTTATAAGCTAAAAACAGGATGAAGGTGCCATATATGATCAAAGATAAGACAATCCCATAGACAAACAGATCCTAACTCAATGAAAAATATTGTGTAGGGTAATGATAACGAACAAGCTGGAAAAATGAACCATGACTGGTTCTCAATGACTGGATCATTTCAAGATCTTTTCATCAGGTATTATTTTGATTGCATGATTGCTATTTGATATGGAAGATCTGATTGGTTGAGTACTCCCTAATGCTCCATTCTGATTGGTTACTTCAGCTGGATGGTCACCAGATTCTGTCTCTCCTCACAGTGTTTGATGACTACCTGCAGACTGGCAGAAGGTATGTCCGCTCAGTCATCATGTTCGTCATCTGTTCCCTTTGTAACGTAATCTGTCCACTCACGCGACCTAAACACTCACTAGTCACTCACTCTTACGCTCACTTCACATAAACATTCACTCACTAAACAATATCTCACTCACTAAAATTCACTTAACGATAACATTCACTCACACTTACATTCACTCACACTTACATTCGCTCACACTTACATTCGCTCACTCTTACATTCACTCACTTACATTCATTCACTCTTACATTCACTCACTCTTACATTCGCTCACACTTACATTCGCTCACACTTACATTCACTCACTCTTACATTCACTCACACTTACATTCACTCACACTTACATTCACTCACACTTACATTCACTCACTCTTACATTCACTCACTCTTACATTCACTCACTTAACGTTAACACTCACTTAAGGTTAACATTCACTCATTTAACGGCAACATTCACTCACTTAACGTAAACATTCACTCACTGTTAACATTCACTCACTCTTTCATTCATTCACCATTAACATTCACTCACCTGACCTTAACGTTCCCTTGCTTGTAGTTAACATTCACTCCCTTAACGTTAACATTCACTCACTTAACATTAACATTCACTCACTTAATGTTAACATTCACTCACTTAACGTTAACATTCACTCACTTAACGTTAACATTCACTTAACGTTAACATTCACTCACTTAACGTTAACATTCACTCACTTAACGTTAACATTCACTCACTTAACGTTAACATTCACTCACTTAACGTTAACATTACTCACTTAACATTAATATTCACTCACTTAACGTTAACATTCACTTAACGTTAACATTCACTCACTTAACATTAACATTCACTCACTTAACGTTAACATTCACTTAACGTTAACATTCACTCACTTAACGTTAATATTCACTCACTTAACGTTAACATTCACTCACTTAACATTAACATTCACTCACTTAACATTAATATTCACTCACTTAACGTTAACATTCACTCACTTAACGTTAACATTCACTCACTTAACGTTAACATTCACTCACTTAACATTAACATTCACTCACTTAACAATAACATTCACTTAACGTTAACATTCACTCACTTCACGTTAACATTCACTCACTTAACGTTAACATTCATTCACTTAACGTTAACATTCACTCACTTAACGTTAAAATTCACTCACTTAACGTTAACATTCACTCACTTAACGTTACCTTACACTCACTTAACGTTAACGTTCACTCACTTAACGTTAACTTACACTCACTTAACGTTAACACTCACTTAACGTTAACATTCACTCACTTAACGATAACATTGACTCACTTAATGTTAACATTCACTCGGGGCGGTGGGGTAGCCTAGTGGTTAAAGCGTTGGCTCGTCACGCCAAAAACCCGGGTTCGATTCCCCACATGGGCACAATGTGTTAAGCCCATTTCTGGTGTCCCCCGCCGTGATATTGCTGGAATATTGCTAAAAGCAGCCTAAAACTAAACTCAGTCAGTCAGTAACATTCATTCACCATTAACATTCACTCACCTGACCTTAAAGAACCAATAAACTTTGTTTTTTGTTACTCTTTTAACCATTACATATGAAAGATTTGTGGTTAGTCTTATGCGGAACACCAAATTTATTCTTTAAAAACTTGTGGTTAATTAATACCGAGCGATTAAAAGTGGCCAAAAAGTCGCCTGCTTCCCTCTCGCCCGCCAACGAAACCACAGACAGGTTACGTAACTCTGTCGCCAGAGCACTGCAGTGACGTCATATGAGGAACGATTTTCAGTTAGTTGTATAGAAAATGTGTAGCACGCTCATCATTTTGATGATTTCTCGACATCAACGGCGACATGCCGAATCGTTGCTTTGTCGTCAATTGCTCCTAGGGGTCGGGTGATGGTGTCCCCATGCACAGATTTCCACAGGACCCGCGGTTCGTGCTAAATGGGTTATGTTTGTGAGAGTCTTGAAGTCGGCGTTGTGGAAGCCTGAAGCGATATCTTACTTGTGTTCAGATTGCTTCCGCGGAAGTTAAAGAATCAAAACTACTTACTAGTTGTAGTAAAATATGCATATGATTGATGACCATAAAGATTTTCTATGACACAACTTGTAACATAACGATTTCTTCCTCGGAAGTGAGGTTGTGGTCGAAGTAACAATAATATTGTAAGTAGTATTATATTGACACCCACCTCGCTGCCACGAGAGAAATTGTTATGTTATATGCTTATGTCATGCAAAATCCTATTGGCCATCAATAAAATACATATTTTACTACCAGTAGAAAGTAGTTTTGATTTTGTAACTTCGGTGAAAACAAACCTAAATACCATTTATCCTCAGACTGGCGGATGTTCCGACAGAGGCGCCATCATTTTTAAAATAAAAAAATCTGTTAGAATTAATGAGATTATAGTTTGTTTTCATCAAGTTAGAAAATCATAACTACTTTCTACTCGTAGTTAAATATGTATTGGAATCATAACCAAACGGATTTTGCATGACACAACTTATAACATAACGATTTCTTCCGCAGGCGAGGTGGGGTCGAGAAGTCACAATACTGCTTGTGATAAATTTCTTGCTACATTCACATGGTTAATGTCCACTCACCAGTATGTAGATACTAGTCAATGTCGTCTTTATATTTGGTCTTATAAGCCTAATTAGTTTATTATCATACTTGTATGCATTTTGAAACTTAATAAAAGCAGGCGATCTGCTGATACTTATATAGTGAATTTATAACAGAACTGTAATATCTAGACATTTTATAGTTTGCCAATGTGAATCATAATTAGCACACACACACCTAGTGCATGTTGTCTGTCTCATTACACTTCCACGGCGAAAACAATGATTCTGTTGAATGCTCACGACAAATGAATAAAAACAAAATGCAAATATTAAAATTAAAACAGATTAAAGTTATAGGAACAATATCAGGCCATTACCTTGTTCGAGGAATGTATCCATCAATATCCACCAAACTGTTCCAAATGATGTGTCTTTTAACAGTTTAATATACGAAAAAGTGATAAATCTTTTCAGGTATTTGGTGTATAGTCTCATTGGTCACCCAAGATAGCACCTGGCAACGAATTGCATAGTGTCCGCCTTTCTTTAAAAACAGTAATTTAGTTAGTCAATAATGGGCAATCAATCAATGTATTGCCGGTTAATCCTTTGAAAGAAGGACATTGTTTTTACGCAGACACCGACACGACAGAGTGGAGTCAGAATAGATTAGTAAATCTACATACATAAACACTACCTTTTGACAATTCCGCTGTGTAAGATAAAAGTAATTAATCAATCAGCGTGTTATCGGTTAATCCTTTGATCGATGTTTATAATGTTGAATATTTACTCCAAACACAAGAAATGCCAAATGGAACCTTTGTTGGGTAATCTAAGTGTGTTACCACTAATTATACCTGTTATAAATTCATTAACTGACCATCAAGTGAATGATGACAAATAACATGTGTAGGTTTATACCACCTAACACGGGTTACAACAAGGGAGTATTAATTGCTGTATTGCATGTGAAAACTTATGGGCCGACACTGTTTTGAGAATACAAACAGATTTTTACATGACATGATTAAATATCGAGGTAAAAAAACACAGAAATGGGATCAATTTGGATCAGTCATTATACAAATAGGGCCTAATGACACCAATCGATTTTGACAGAATCGTCTATGAAAACAAGTTGTAACTCAGAAACTAGGCAAAGCAGGAGACAAAATGAAATGACAGTAGATTGTGAGAACATATAGCTTTCATTTTCCACAACAATTGTCACGATTTCAGGTTTATACAAGCCTGTAAACAAGATAATTTACCCCCTAAAATGTAGATGAATTCTGCATCGGCCCTCAAAGCTATTCCTCATATGACGTCACAGAGACGCGCCGCTCTGATTGGTTGAAATTTCGTTCGCGGGTGAGAATTGTGCACTGTTGTCAAAAAGGTCGATTTAAGTCAATTAAAGGTCGAAATGAGTAGTTTTAATGACGGGGTTTCATTGGTGGAGTCTACTAATGCCTACAGTGTTAAATAAACAACTTTACGCACCAGTGCTGCTGATTGCACCTGCCTTCAACCTTTCAATAAAGTGGCATGGTCCTATTTCAAAGTGCACTAATGCCTACAGTATATAGAAAACAGTAACTTTCTATGTTGAGAGACATTTTATTTGGTCATTCATATACATATGTACATTCATATACATATCTTTCACATTGTTGTCATATTTTTCTTAATTTTCTTAAACTTTATTCATATCTTTCACATAGTAGTTTGTTTTGAGATAAATAAATTTACATAAATAAACATAATCATTTATTTGGATTAAAATGTAATTAAAACTTAATTTGATTCATGATTATATATACATATATACATCTTTCACACAGTCAACTACCACATTCATTAATAAAGTCATTGTGGTAACCAAAAAGTAATTTACATGTATACACACAGTTTCACACATTCATCAACATAGTCATTTGGTTTTCAAACTAGCTTGATCAAATATCCTGCAGCAGTCAGGAATTCCAGGGGTGTCTTGATACCAGATGTCAGCTGGAGCCTTCAGGCGAGTGAGTCTCTGGTCAGTTTCTGTGTCGTCCTCTTGTGGGGTGGGGGCCGAGGCCATGAGCCATCTGCACCAGCTTATTTCTCTCGCTTTCTCCAGCTTCTGCAGAACCTTCACAAGAGCGAAAATGTTGGGTGGGCTCTCTGGGCCGGTCTTGTTGAGATCACGAATGCCAACCCTCGAGATGATTGTTAGTCCTTGGGCGCTGGTGTCGTGGTGATTCCATAGTCCGGCTCGGAACCGTGCATGAGTGCGTCTACCCAGGTGCTGGTGATGTAGTCCTGGAACTCATCCTTCTGTCCAATGGCAGGGCGTCGTCCATGACCTCTATCCAGGCATTTTGTACCATGGCCACTGGGAGGAGGGAGTGCTGCTGCTTTCGTCAGACCCATCTGTGGACCTCAGGATCCTGCTGGTAGGCTTGGCTGAAGCCGAGGTTCTGTACTTTCCTCCAGAGAGCCTGGCTGTAGTGGAAATAGCATCCACGGACGTCGCAGTTGGGGAAGGCGGTCTCAACAGCATTGATGGCAGCAATTTGAAATCCGTCTGGATGACATCAGGCTGAAGGCGATCCCGTTGTCTGCTGGATCTTGTCGTTCAGGAGGCGTAGCGAGGCGTTCATAGGTGCTGGCGTTGGCGATTCGGCAGTAGACAGAAGACCAACTGGGTCGTCTTCCCTCCGACTAGGCCATGGATGGACGTACAGCTGATCCCAGAGGAGGACAGGAGTAGAAGGTGCCGTCCATGTAGAGGGTGTCCACTTCTTGCAGGAGGGTCAGGCGGTCACTTGTGGCGAAGCAGAGAATCTTGTCATCATCACCGTCATCAATGCAGAGGAAGGGCAGTCCATCTGTAGTCTCCTTGAAGAAGTCGGGTAGATTTCACCTCGCTGGCGTCTGGGGAAGTGGCGGCATCATCTTCCGTCTCTGCTTGTAGAGTCCACTCTTCATAGAATGGAGCGACTTGACTGTTGCTGCTTCACCTCGGTCAAGTCGGGAAATCTCCTCATCGTGAGATCACCTGAACTTGCGTCGTCTCAGTCTGTACCCGCTGCCTCAGGGAACTGGCAATCTTCAGGGCTACCTGGTCTTCTTGTGGGTGGTTGTGTGGGGTCTGATTCGAACAAACTGTCCGACCGTCATTACACTTGCCAAAGCAGCCACCTTGAACACACTTCCAGTGTACACCGTCTGTAAGCCTGTTGTTGAGTCTGTGGCGGTATCCTCCAAGAGTACCTGCTGTCCTCCTTTCTGTGATGTGAAGTATTAGACTTTCTTGGGATTTGCCATGATTTGCAATGAAGATCTGTATCACAAGCATTTTAAAGCAATACATTTCCTTCTCCTTTAATAATCTCTCAATTAATTACTCTATTCTTCAATTTTAAAGCAATACATTTCCTTCTCCCTTTAATAATCTCTCTATTAATTACTTTACTCTTCAATTTCCTTCTCGTGTGAGAACTAAATGCGTATGGAATTATCAAAACATAAGCTAGCTAACGATTTAATACTCTTGATCTTACTCTTTACTCTCCTTGCTGGCCTCCCCTAATCCCTTTGTAGGCAATAGTGCACACTAAGTGGAACAATCTACTTGTGTGCAGGTAAGCGTATCGCTGTCACTGCAAACGTTGTAGCTATTATTCCCTGTAGGCATTATTCACTGTAGGCATTAGTAGACCTAACCGTTTCATTTATAACGATGCCAGTTGGTGATTTATGTATTTGTACCCCCTAGGGTTTATGTGACCTTTAACGTTCCCTTGCTTGTAGTTAACATTCACTCACTTAACGTTAACATTCACTCACTTAACGTTAACATTCACTCACTAAACGTTAACGTTCACTTAACGTTAACATTCACTCACTTAACGTTAACATTCACTCACTTAACGTTAACTTACACTCACTTATCGTTAACATTCACTCACTTAACGTTAACTTACACTCACTTAACGTTAACTTACACTCACTTAACGTTAACATTCACTCACTTAACGTTAACGTTAACACTCACTCTTAGCGTTAACTTACACTCACTTAACGTTAACTCTTACACTCATTAACGTTAACATTCACTCTTAAAGTTTAGCGTTAACTTACACTCCTTAACGTTAACTTACACTCACTCACTTAGCGTTAACATTCACTCCTTAGCGTTAATTTACACTCACATTGCGTTAACTTACACTCATTAGCGTTAACTTACACTCACTTAACGTTAACTTACACTCACTTAATGTTAACATTCACTCACTTAACGTTAACTTACACTCACTTAACGTTAACGTTCACTCACTAACATGCAGCCCTGTAGAGGACACATGTGTCACATCCCCAAAGTTTCAGGTGTAAATTGTTAAGCAGTCCAAGTTTTGTATTGCCCCTTGAGGTGAATCAGTCATGTGGATGTCATGTAGACCTCACACCAAGCTAATCAGGAGGGTGTGTTGTTTCCAGGCCACTGGTGTTAAAGAGAATCATAGGAAGTGTCTACAACAGCGTGGCAGAGCAGACATTGGAGAGGTTGCGGAGGGAAGGAGAGAAGGAGGAGGCGGAAGAGGATGGAGTGGATGGGGCAAAGGACGACTCGGACTCTGGCTACGATGAGGATTCAGAACCCAAACTGAAAGTGAGTAAAAACACTCTGAACCGCGCCTTGTCAAACAACACTGATGTTGTCGTGGCTTTCTGTTCTTCTGAGACAATTCGACCCGTGAAGGTCTGGGTTAAAATGAACCTTCAGTAACCCATGCTTGTCGTAAGAGGCGACTAATGGGATTGGGTGGTCAGGCTCGCTGACTTGGTTGACACGCGTCATCGGTTCCCAGTTGCACAGATCGATGCTCATGCTGTTGATCACTGGATTGTCAGATCCAGACTTGATTATTTACAGACCGCCGCCATATAGCTGGAATATTGCTGAGTGTGGCGTAAAACTCAACTCACTCACTCACTCTGAGATAACCCTTTAGCACTATGTTGTGAAGGTCTGGATCACAACAGATTGTTAACATCCAGTGCTTGTTGTAAGATGCGAGTAACGGAAATGAGTGGTCAATACAACATTTAGCATGATTACACAACAAACAATCAAACCAAGTAAATAATGACTATTCATCGTTCAGGTACATTATAAGATCCTTTTGCAGCATCTTTGATACACTATTTCACATCCTGCTTGTACAATGTGTGAAACTACGCCAGGCATGTTGAGTGAATAATACAACTTTTCTTCTGTTTCAGTTTGGGGGCGGTGGGGTAGCCTAGTGGTTAAAGCGTTGGCTCATCACGCCGAAGACCCGGGTTCGATTCCCCACATGGGTACAATGTGTTAAGCCCATTTCTGGTGTCCCCCGCCGTGATATTGCTGGAATATTGCTAAAAGCTGCGTAAAACCAAACTCACTCACTCACTCACTATTTCAGTTTGACTGCTTGCTGCTGACAGACCATCTGTTCCACTTGGGGAGCCAGGAGAGATGTCGGGGAACAAACAGACAGCTGTTGTACAGAACGGTCTTAAGGTGAGAATGTCTACCACACACACTTCATTGTGATCACCCACATGACAACATACAACTTGCACATTTATTTCTTTAACTTGCGCCAAAACTTCCCATCAGTATTTCAAATAGCCATTCTGTAACACAAAATCCTTTTTGGTAGCACTCAATAAACTTGCCATGAGGTCATTACAAGTCAGCATGTACCACTGTCAACATGACGTGGATGGCATCGCGTCTGAAGAAACCCTCACTCACTCAAATGAAGATATTTGCATGCACCTCAGTATTCCATATGGCTGATCAGACGAGAGGATGTGGCTGTCAGTGTGTGTTTGTTTTAATGACAAGTTTGTCGTACAGTCAGAATCAGCATGATTTTCAATATTAGCCAAAAGTTATTCCATGCCTACCTGTTCTCCTGTGATGTGCGGGCGGGTTGTCTACAAGAAACTCCAGCACTGTATAGCATACTATAGTGGTCTGTCTATGTCTTGTCTCGCCTCGAGTCGCCTCACATTACATTCGATGATTTATACTTCACATCACCTCACATTACATTCCTTGACTTTATACCTCACCTGACCGCCTCCGTGGTGTAGTGGTTAGAACGTCCGCCCAGAGAGCGGAAGGTCGCGGGTTCGATCCCCGACCGCGCCATACCAAAAGACGTTAAAATATGGTACTTCTTGGTCTCTGCCTGGCACTCGGCATTAATGGGTACAACAAAGACTGGTCGGCTCGGAGTATAATGTGTCTGAGTGGGGTATTCATGCTTCACTGCGGCATGGTATCTCAGTGGGCTAGCACTATAAAATCAGCTTAAGTCTGGGCTAGTACAAGCAGCCGCACAAACTCATACACACGCATGCACGTCGTCATATGAGCGAAATATTCTCAATCACGACGTTAAACCCAATTTCACTTCACCTTATACCTCACCTCACCTCACCTCACTCACTCACCTCACCTCACTTCATCTCCTACCTCACCTCACCTAGTTTACTTCCGTGACCTGACCTGAATGTTGTGCAGGTTGCAAAATGCTGCTGCAGGTGTTGTTGAGGCTGCTGATGAGACGGAGGTATATGACCCAGATGCAGATCTAGAGGATGCTGTGACGAGGCTGATGAATCTCAATCCTAAAAAGAAGAAGAAGAGGAAACGTCAGCAAGGTGCCCCAGTTATATCTAGAAGTATATATCTTTAAAGTCTTCATAATTCATTTCTCGGTGATTTTGATTGTATCACAAATTTTGATGGACCATTCTATATATATCATACCAAAGTATACAAATATTTTGAGGACATTTTTGATGACAATGTTCTTGAGAATGAACTAGACTGAAACCCAGGCTCTGTTACCCCTGTCCGTTACTACTGTATGAGGGGTGGTGGGGTATCCTAGTGGTTAAAGTCTTCGGTCGTCATGCAGGAGGCCCGGGTTTGATTCCCCATATGGGCACAGTGTGTAAAGCCCATTTCTGGTGTCCCCCGCTGATATTGCTGGAATATTGCTAAAAGCGCCGTCAAACATACTCACTCACTAGTACTGTCTGAAATCCAGACTCTGTTACTTACTCTCTGTTATTTCTTCTGTAGAAGCGGCGGACGAGGTGGATGCACAGGATAAAATGGACACACAGGATGAGGTTGCAGAAGAAACAGATGGAGATGTCAAGAAGGGGAAGAAGAAACAGAAGCGGAAACTCCAGGAAACAGCATCTGAGAATATTGCTGTGAAGAAAGTCAAGTTAACTCCATCCACTGATTCTGATACAAAGATCAGTACAGAGACCAGCAGTACTTTGGCAGAAACAGATTCTCCAAAGAAGAAGAAGAGGAAGAAGAGAAAGAAGAAGAAGAAAGGGTCTACAGAAGTGACAGAACAAGGGGGAGATAAGTCAGTGTCCAAGGGAGGTAACTCCCCAAAAGGTGCAAGTGGGGATAAAGTGCAGGACGTTAAATGTATAAACACAAGTCCACCAAACAAATTGACTTCTAAAAATGATTCCACGAAAGAAACAAGTTCAAGCAAGAAGTCGAAAAAGAAGAAGAGATTAAAGTCAACTGAGGAGAAAACTGAAGGGAAAGATGTTTCACCTCCAAAGAAAACGAAAACAGAACCTGAAGCAACTGGGATCAAGGTCAAGGTGAAAGATGGTGAGACCAAAATTAAAGGAAAAAAGAAAAAATCATTTCCATTGAAAGAAGATGAAGTTATTGTTAGCAAGGAGACCAAGGAAGTAAATGCAAGTGTAAGCCAGGAGACGAAAAATGAGAAGGATATCGTAACCAGGGATACAAAGGATGAGCCTCTGAAAGAGGGGGAGACGGAGATATGGGTGCCCAACAAAAAGCATCAGGCCAAGGTCAAGGCTCAAGAGAAAAAGGTCAAGGACAAGAAAATTAAAACGCCAAAAGGATCGACGTTTGCAAAGTTTGAGAAGCTTTCAACCCCTCCTGCAGCCTTTGTGAAGAAAGCCATCGCCAAGGTGATGAAAACACCGCTTAAAAAGGTGAGAGATGCACTTTCAATCTTTTTTTCGTTAAAAAGACATGTTTATGCCATTAAAAATGGGTATACATGAAAAAAAGATCATCATATTGGGACATTGCTCATGGTGTTGCTCAGGGGTTCTCAGTCAAGACACCCTTCCATCAAATGTGTCTACTAAGTTCTCTATATTCCATGCTGTCATTGTCTGCACAAACATGTTGTTCTTATGCACACAACATTTATGCAGATATTGATGGAAATTAATCAAGATCGACAAACAGTTAGATTTTAAAATCAGCATCAGCTTTTCCAGTGTTTTGCTGTCGAGATGTAATATTGCATGTATTCCAGAAATAACTTGTCCCAGTATTCTGAAAGTGTTGCAGTCCTCTCTGAATGTTGTGACTGAAACTATATCCAAAGTTGTGTGTAACCAAATTTACAGACTCACTTCAGGAATTAGTCTTTTACACAAGATTTTTCCACTAGGATTCAATGACTCTTTCAAATCTTATTCTGACATTAGCTTTTCACCACCTAATGTTTACAGACTCACTTCAGGAATTACAGTTTTTCCACAAGATTTTTCCACTAGGATTCAATGACTCTTTCAAATCTTATTCTGACAGTAGCTTTTCACCACCTAATGTTTACAGACTCACTTCAGGAATTACAGTTTTTCCACAAGATTTTTCCACTAGGATTCAATGACTCTTTCAAATCTTATTCTGACAGTAGCTTTTCACCACCTAATGTTTGTAAAGTAAACCGACACAAGGCTTCATGCTTTTCATTTGGTGTGGTCTTACAGACAAATGACGCCCCCAAGACCACACCGGAGATGACAGCCAGTGAGAAGAAGGTCAAGTTTAACATGAAGAAGAATACCGCCCAGAGTGAGTGGTTGTCATGGTTACTTTACACACAGTGTGTGTTTATCCTTGTGTATGTACTTGCATTGTGTGATAGCTGAGTTTATCCTTGCTTATATAGTTGCAGTGTGTGCCAGATGAGTTTATCCTGTAGTTGCAGTATGCAGTTATCCTTGTGTATGTACTTGCAGTGAGTTTATGCTTGCATATGTACTTGCCTTGAGTTTACCCTTGTGCCTGTACTTGCAGTGTGTGTCTATCGTTGTGTATGTACTTGCAGTGTGTGCCAGATGAGTTTATCCTGTAGTTGCAGTATGTGAGTTTATCTTCGTGTATGTACTTGCAGTGAGTTTATGCTTGCATATGTACTTGCTTTGAGTTTACCCTTGTGCCTGTACTTGCAGTGTGTGTCTATAGTTGTGTATTTACTTGCAGTGTGTGACAGATGAGTTTATCCTTGTGTATGTACTTTCAGTATGTGACATGTGAGTTTATCCTTGTGTATGTACTTGCAGTGTGTGTCTATAGTTGTGTATTTACTTGCAGTATGTGACAGATGAGTTTATCCTTGTGTATGTACTTTCAGTATGTGACATGTGAGTTTATCCTTGTGTATGTACTTGCAGTGTGTGTCTATAGTTGTGTATTTACTTGCAGTATGTGACAGATGAGTTTATCCTTGTGTATGTACTTTCAGTATGTGACATGTGAGTTTATCCTTGTGTATGTACTTGCAGTGTGTGTCTATAGTTGTGTATTTACTTGCAGTATGTGACAGATGAGTTTATCCTTGTGTATGTACTTTCAGTATGTGACATGTGAGTTTATCCTTGTGTATGTACTTGCAGAGTTTGAGGACAGCATGACACTCAGCCCAATTCCAGCCTTCAACCCCCGGATGACCCCAACACAGGGCATCCTGAAGTCTCCCGCTTCTGCCGGCCTCACATCAGCACAGACGTCAGGCAAGAAGAAGAAGAAGAAGAAGTCAGTGGGCAGTGGCCAGAACACCCCAGTCACTAGCAGGACTGAAAGTACTCCTGCCTCAAACAAGAAGCGTCTCACACGATCAAGGGCAGCAGATTTCTTCTGAGGGGTATTACCGGGAATGTTGGACTAAAACTTGAATAACAGCACAAAGTGTAGCGATGTGTTTAGGCAGCTCCAAAGATGCTGACAGTATTGACTCATGCCGCACCAGCCTTAGGGAAGGAAATGCTGCAACCACAATTACAAATGTCGTGGTTGCCAAGGTGGTTGCTATGGTGACAGATGTGATTGCCAGCCACCCTAGCAGCAGTTGTTATGGTTACAGTAATCCTTAGCAAGCAATCATTCAATCATATAGCAGATCGTGTACAGTTGTAGTATACCTTTGATAAACTTTGTTGAGTCAATTAAGAAAATACTTGTAGTAGTTCTTTTTGGGGAGATTAAGACGTGCAGCATTGTTTAGAAATTTTGGGATACAGTGGAGGGGTAAAAAGTAGGGTCACATTCTTCACATATAAGGTTGTGAAGGGGCTAAGAGCAGGGTCACATGCTTCACATATAGGGGTGTGGGTGGGCATAGATATGATGACCTTCACACACAGGTGTGGGAGGTCATACTATAGTAGAGGTCACATTCTTCACAAATCTTGGGGAGGGAATAAGTGTCAACACACCCTGTATTTAAAGAATTAGAGAAGAGCCTGTGAACTATAAGGAATTACAGATTATGCTCATGTGAACAAATAGTGTACATCCCGAGCTTGCTGTGAGCGTTATACCCATGGGCTTTCACTGAACACCTGCATCAACTCCGGCTGTCTGGCCACATCAAGCTGACACACCGTGACATTACTGCAGTACTGTCCAAGGCCTGTTCAACTCACTCATTCAAAACAGAGTGTTAAACACAAGTCACTCCAACTAATTATTGACCTGTGAAGATTTGGGTTAGAAATGGTCTTTAGCAACCCATGCTTGTCATAAGAGGCGACAAACGGGATCTCGAGGTCAGGCTCACTGACTTGGTTAGCATGTCATCATATCCCATATCCCAAACAACAAACTCACAAACAAGCCCACTTGTTCTAATGACCAGAGCTGATGCTGGTCGGAGCACATGGTGTTATAATTGTACAGTATATGATTTGTATATAGGTCTCCATGGTGATGACAGCACTGCAGACAGAGTTTACCAACACTTCATGGTGTTATTAGTCAATGAAACCATAATCCTAGAGATACTTTTCAGATTGTGTTCGAAGAAACTGATGTCCTGATTTCATTAGATGTAATTGAGATGTGGTGAATTTGATTGAAAATATTCAGGATGCCTTCATATTTTGTGATACCAAAACAACATCTCCATTTCATTGGATGAGACTGACATGTCCGTGTTACACTGAAATTACAGGAAGGTGTCCTGATTGGATGAATATGAGTCGATTTTGAAACTTTGTCAGACGTTTGTTGGAATCTTTTGTAGGGATAACAATAATACACTTGACTGGTTATGGGCGTCATTTCCGAGTATGATGGAATATGTCGCCATCTGAAGCACTGCAGTTTATTTTTGATGGAGTATGATGTGTAATGAGACTGGTAGTTTGTCAGGTCTGTCTGTAGTGCTGCTAGTGGTATGGACGTGAGAATAACTTGTGTCCGATTCTATGTCACAAATGTTCAAGTCTGTGTTGATATCAATGAACAGTCTGGTCTTTCACGCTCTGTTTCCTCATGCCCTACGGCAGGGATTGTTGCTCATACAGACATGCTAATTAATCTTCATAGTGAAGCAAAACTTTCCTAGCTGAGAGCTATTTCCCTCTGATGGTCAACTACTAATGTGTTATATATGTTTCTACAGTTTTTTACAATTGTGAATTGGGCAATGACAAGCCCCTAAAAATGCCTTCAATCTGACATAATCTGATAGTCTGTACCAACCCTGTGCTGGTGGCTTGTCATAGGAGTACCTTAAGTCTACTTGGACACAAGTTATGTACACTCCACACAAGTCGAGGATAGATTTACTCTTGCAAAATGAAATACTCTGGTGTTCGTTAATTTCTGTTGGGTACGGTAGTTTATGAGAAAACACTTTCTGTTATTACATTGTTCATGCTATGTACATTGTAGATACTGAAGACAGTTAAATAAACTATGACTATTGATCTCTGCATCCTGTGTTCCTTGAAGGGTCGGAGTGGCACAGTTGTCCAGGTGCAGTGATATGTTTGTGGTTCAAATCCAAGATTTGCCTTAATTGGGATCCTTTGTCTGTCATCACCAACCACGCATCCATGGTGCTCCAGAAAGTTGTTGCCAAGGTCACCAGTAATGCCAATATGATATCTCAGTTCTCTGTTACTTAACAAAAAAGACATTTAATGCTTTGAATTCCATGTTGATCCGTGATACACACAACCACTCAGCTTGTAAAGTCCTGTACACCTCAACAGTGACACATAACTTCGTTAACTCATGTTTATGAATGAGACTCTTATCTCAACTCCTGCAATCCCAAGATCAGTCTTGGTGTTGATCCCATTCAGCTTGTAAACCCCAAAACAGACACGTAACTCAGTCACAGCTATGAAGTAGACTTGTTGACTAATGTTGGGGGCGGTGGGGTAGCCTAGTGGTTAAAGCGTTGGCTCGTCACGCCCAGGACCCGGGTTCGAATCCCCACATGGGTACAATGTGTGAAGCCCATTTCTGGTGTCCCCCACCGTGATGTTGCTGGAATATTGCTAAAAGGGGCGTAAAACCAAAACTCAGTCAGTCAGTCTAATGTTGCAATCCCAAGATCAGTCTTGGTGTTGATCCCATTCAGCTTGTTAACCAAAAAACAGACACGTAACTCAGTCACAGCTATGAAGTAGACTTGTCTAATGTTGGAATCCCGAGATCAGTCTTGGTGTTGAGTCCAATCAGTTTGTAAACCCTTTAAACCCCAATACAGACACGTAACCTGTCACTGCCACGAAAGAGACTTCTAATCTAATGTTGGAATCCCAAAATCAGTCTTGGCGTTTAGTCCATTCAGCTTGTAAACCCAACAACAACGCGTAACTCTGTCACAGCTACGAAGAAGACTTGTTATCAAACGTTGGAATCCCAAGCAGATAAAAAAGAAACAACAGAAAAGGGTGAATGGTTTGAAACATTTATGCATTTTCTTTATACATGCATGGGAGCCGTGAGCGTCGAGAGGCCACCCACAACTTCATGTACAGCAGTCAAGCAGGATGGGTGGCAGGATGAACAGCCCTTCACACAGTACCCTCCGTGAACACTGGAGATAACTACACATACACCACACTGGCAATATACACATTTATACACCACTTTGTGGCAAAGGTTTGCATAACAGTGGTAGGTGGATTTGAAAAACAAATTCCACAAACTGCCATATTTGGACCTAAACCTGAACATACTTAGCACTTGGTGCCCACATTAATTTCTTTGGATTACATGAAGGCCGTATCACATTTTGTGACAACATTTGATTGTATCCATAGTGACAGGATGTGGAATATGACAAAGCTCAGGTCGTGTGGTTGGAGGAGTGATGCTGGCTGTTCAGGGCATGTTAGACATGAGACAGGTCGTGAGAACACTGCAAGCGGGGCAACCAAGGGGCAATGTATTAAGTACAGCTTCAAAAAAAAATGACACACACAGTGATGAAGCTTCAGAAAAGGCCAACAAAAAATAATTAATTAATTTGTAACTCAACCTCTCCTCATTTTCATATTTCATTTTGACAGGATTAAAAAAACAAACATAAAAAGTGCCATAGAGCAATAGCTCACTTAACTGTATGCAGCAGTATTGAAAAACAAAGTTGTTGTCTACCTTGATATTTATATTATCAGCCTATATAATGCAAACTAACACTAAAACCTACTGAAATGACCAAAATATTTTGTCATTATACAGATATAAAACATCTGACAATTTCATAGAAGTTAACTCAGCACAGTAAGCATTTGGAGAGTTTTAACAGCACTGTCAAAACAAGGCCCAAAATTAAGAACAGAACATGTCTCACTACTAGCTACCAGGATAATTAATGTCATTACATTTTGGACAATAATAACTGTATATGGTCATATATAACTGTTTCAAAATGGCTGCCATGGTGGCCATATTGAAAGATTGGATTCAAGCCACTTAAACATGTTCAGGTATCATCAGCGGTGGGAATAAGCATGAGAAGTTATAGTATGAGGAGAGGAAGTTTACAGAAGACACCGGACAAGCTGACTATTAGACACTTGCCATTCAATCAGGCGAGCTGGAAAGAAGAAGATTTAACTAAAAACACCTCCTCCTTCACTATACTGATCAATTTTCATCATAATGAAATAATTAATTCTTTGTGGCCAGAGATTAATGTCTGTGAAAAAACATAGTTTGGCTGGAAATCCATTACCCCTTCCTAACTCTTCCTCTCCCACACAATCTCTGTACCCAAACCCTTTATAATTTTCTATATAGTGGAGGAGAAACAATGTTCCATGGCTGACCTATCTGTTTCAGATAATCTGCTGGGACAGCCAACTAACCAAACTCAAGTGCCCCTTTAAATGTAGTTATGCACTATTTCACAATTTGGTGAGAGCATTGTAAAAAATATGTCAAACTGATACATTCATTTTCCAGCCGAACTAGTTTTAACATCATGAACAATTTGAAATGTATCCAAGACAATGAGATTGAGTCAACAGCCTCCATGAATGATGCTTGCGTATGTACAGGGAAGTGAGGACAGTGAACTAACATTGTACACAGGGTATACACAGTTGTATATGTACAGGAGAGAGAGAGAGAGTACTGCATGGAGGGAAATATGAGCCGTACCACCCGGTAGAAAGTATGTATATAACAGTGGACATATCTTAGAAAAAAACAACAATATACATAGCACTGTCAATACAGTCATACAATAAGAATGGGATCAGCCTGTGAGCCAGCATATAAACAACAATAACAGACTCAATGGTCATGTACACCAATGAAAAAAACAAATCCTATGAAAATATGACCTTAACAGATCACCATACATTAGGTATGGCAGGGGATACAAACATCAAGCCGTCACAATAATAGTTAAAGCTGTGATAAAAAAATTACAAAATATACTTTAGCTAAGAGGGCATGCCTTGTGTGTCACATATGTTCTAAGTCAACTGTATAAAACATACACACTCCCAATTGTCCTTACTAACTAACTGGTATCAATGGTCCGAGGCTCAAACCTGAACTGATTAAGCCAGATTCCACCTGATTCGGTAATAGCTGGGGCACTTCAAGCAGAAAATTCAAGGTCATAAACACTAGGTCAAGGTCATAAGCACAAAGATCAGTTAGCACAAGGTCAAGGTCATAAGCACTTGGTCATGGTTTCACTGCAATGTAAAGGCCAAATTGTTTGAAGCTTTTGACAAATGGAGCATAAAATAACGAATGTATTGACTAAATTAAGTCATGACACAAATCAAAGTATTGAAGACATTAGCAATGGGGAAAACACTACACAATAGTAAACAATAAGAAAAAGATTGTAACATTGTATGACAGTTGTTGTAAACATATAGTGTTAAGTGTGGGCCTGATAACAGCCTACAGCACCAGATGCATTGTCCGACAATGTCCAGAATGAGAAAACACAGTTAAGGTAAATAACACCAGCTCATGGCTATGACGGATGTGCTTGTAACTGAACTGTTTCATGCTACTGTGGACAGTATTTCATATACTACTCAAAATAGTCAACATCCACAACTGGAAGGCTGTGCAATGCCCACCAAACATGACAGATCAACTTGTCATATGAAAATACTGGACATTTTTCAAACGTTGGTAGTATATATAATGGCATGGTAGTTTGTGTTTGTCGAACCTTAGTGATGCAGGTCAAAGAGGTTTATCACTGGTGAAATGAACCAGCACAGGTATGGTACAGACAAACCAGTGAAAATATGCAGGGTGAATGTAGGATTTGAACCTAGGATCACAGGCTCATGACTGTGGGACAATACACAGAAGTGCAGAACCTTATTCCACTGGGTACCCTTTGCTCTGTGAACACTGGTGTAGATACTGCTGGTGTGAGTGCAAATAATACTCAGGTTAACATGTACAAGGAGGAAGATATAGCTTGGGCCGTTGATGGCTGACTCAACTACCGGTACTTATTATACACTTTGATGTTTAGTATTTCTCATGAATATACACATGTAACATATACAATATTCCCAGGAAAATATAGATTCATGCTAATGATGCTTGCAATGAGGGCCTTGTGTGTATTAAATTGAGTTAGTTTTTAGGGTAGCAGTATCTGTGACACATCTGTCATACACTGAGTATACAGCCAAGTTAGGTAACTTCACCTTCACTTGCATTGCTGCTTGGCTAAGAAACTAAGGATATCTCACAGATCCTTTTAGATCAATATATTTGATCAAACAGAAGCATATTGTTATTAATCAAAGGTGACCAACATCAAAGAGGGATGTTATCTCACAATAATTATTTCATTTACAACATTTAAATATGGATGATAAATGCTAGTTTCCTTTCTGCACCACGGTATCATAGGCCACCTTCAACAGTGGAAACTGTACCTGCTTCTAGCAACACCTGATGGAGCAAGCCCAGTTGATAACAAGTGGTAAATAACAAATACAAATAACTTATGACTGAAATTGTGAAGGTAATCATGCTGACTCTGGTCAAGGGACAGAACTCTGCCATGACGCACCAGTATTTCAGGACGCCATGTCAGTTGATCTTCCTGGCACAGCAAATGCAAATCACGATATCGAAAATATAATTAGTCAGTACCATTTTCCTTACAAGCAATAACATAGAGCAATATTTCAACAACTCTATATTTGGGAAGGGTTAGTACACAACTGTTATTTCACACAAAATGTAAAATGTAAATTGGTTTTGGATTTTGTTTTTTCAGGGAAGGTCATGACAAATTTACAAGGGCTTTGCAATGGTCATCCAGAGTCAGTGAGTTTAGTTTTACGCCGGGGTATATTCCAGCAAATATCACGGCGGGGACACCAGAAATGGGCCAACACATTGCACCCATGTGGGGAATCGAACCCGGGTCTTCGGCGTGACGAGCGAACGCTTTAACCACTAGGCTACCCTACCACCTGGGTCATCCAGAACATGACAACAAGCATGATGGAAGGACCATACAACCCCACTAAACTACCCCCCTGGGATAAATGCCCTCCCCTTGATATGCAGTTTTCAAAATATTTTCCATTGTTCACCTGAGATAATTTTGATTCCTTTATTTCTTAAATCTGAGTTCAATCTACAGTGAGTGAGTGATTGGGGTTTTATGCCGCTTTTACCAATATTCCAGCTATATCACCGCGAGGGACACCAGAAATGGGCTTTACACATGGTACCCATAAGGGAATCGAAACCAGGTTTTCGGCATGACAAGCGAACACCATAACCACTCGGCTATCGCATTGCACAGTCACTAGTGTCCATTGTAGAAACGTGAGACCAATACAAGCTGGAGAGGTACATATGACATGAAACATTGCCAGGATCATATCACCCCAGGTACCTGATCTAGCCAGGTAGGTCTAGACACTGTCTGATGACTGTCATGCAGTGTACGAAATAGCCACTGTCCCACTAGCCCGTGGCTAGTAAAAACCAATCGGGTCAGTCAATATCCTTAGTCACTGGCCCGACTGGCTAGTGAATTTTCATGGGGTCATTTTGCAAATACATTACTCTCTCAAACTTTTAAAGTTATAATACACTTTTAAATCATGCAAGATTATGGCCTGATAAAAATGTTCATCATATTAGCAGCTTAATGATGAAACCCATGTCTACATTCAAATTTCGTGCAAGTGAATTATCTTGTGCCTGGCCCTTATGCAGTGAGTGAGCATGGTTTTAAGCTGCTGTTAGCAATATTCCAGCAATATCGTAGAAGGGGAGACCAGAAAGGGGCTTCACACATTGTACCCATCATGAATCAAACATGGGTCTTTGGAGTGACGAGTGAACGCTTTAACCTCTGGGCCACCCCATATCCCTTGCCCTTGTACAGACTCCAGTACTATGAAGTTAAAGATGCTCCTACTTATGGAGAGAGCGGAAGGGTGCAGGTTTGATCCCCGACCGCGTCATACCAAAAGACGTTAACATATGGTACTTGTTGGTCCCTGCCTGGCGTTCGGCATTAATGGGTACAACAAGGACTGGTCGGCTCAGAGTCAGTATAATGTGTCTGAGTGGGGTATTCATGCTTCACTGCGGCATGGTATCTCAGTGGGCTAGCACTATAAAACCAGCTTAAGTCTGGGCTAGTACAAGCAGCCGCACATACACATACACATTCATGCAAGTCGTCATATGAGCGAAATATTCTCAAGCACGACGTTAAACCCAATTTCACCTCACCTACTTATGGAAAATACCTTTCTGCATTTGTTGATGACCAAATAGTTATCTTTAGTCGAGGTGTGGGCCATAGAAGTTGAGAAGAATTCTCTGTTAAATTAATACATCCTTAGTGAAGGTATCTGTACATCCTATCAGATAACACACTTCAGTGATGTATAGTAAAGATGTCCCTAGAAAGATCTGCTCCATCAATACATTCTTAGTGAAGGCATCTGTACATCCTATCAGATAACAGACACTTCAGTGATGTATAGTAAAGATGGTCCCTAGCAAGATCTGCTCCATCAATACATCCTTAGTGAAGGTATCTGTACATCCTATCAGATAACAGACACTTCAGTGATGTATAGTAAAGATGTCCCTAGAAAGATCTGCTCCATCAATACATCCTTAGTGAAGGTATCTGTACATCCTAGCAGATAACAGACACTTCAGTGATGTATAGTAAAGATGTCCCTAGAAAGATCTGCTCCATCAATACATCCTTAGTGAAGGTATCTGTACATCCTATCAGATAACAGACACTTCAGTGATGTATAGTAAAGATGTCCCTAGAAAGATCTGCTCCATCAATACATCCTTAGTGAAGGTATCTGTACATCCTAGCAGATAACAGACACTTCAGTGATGTATAGTAAAGATGTCCCTAGAAAGATCTGCTCCATCAATACATCCTTAGTGAAGGTATCTGTACATCCTAGCAGATCACGAACACTTAAGTGATGTATAGTAAAGATGCCCCTATCAAGATCTATCGATACATTCTTAGTGAAAGTACCTGTATATTCAAACCTAACACAGACACAGCAAGTATGTACTGGATCAACTGGGCAACTGATCTGACCGACATTTACAGACATTAGGTGGGTTGTAGATGGAAGATTGTTTACAAAGAAACAAGAACAAACATGTCAAAATCTGCAGACAAACTCACGTGCTACTTGCAGGTATTTTGAAGAGTAGAGACACACACACCAAGAAACTTTCACGAACTTTCATTATGAGGGATTATCAGGATTATTCTATAAGCTATGTCACAGAATATGCAATAGATGCAAGGATATCTTGTGCCTGAGAGAACTACATGATAGCTACCTCGAACTTATTGACAGCAGGACAGTTTTGTGGGGATACCTGGAGACAGTTGGGTGGAAGAAACACCAAGAAATTCACCTGTGAAGCTGTCTTTTATGAAAAATCAAGATGTTTGGCTGGGACGTTAATTGTCATGATTACCTTAAGCAGACTACTAAATATTCATGTACACATTTAGCATGAAATGTATTACTAAGATGCCAACCTACAAGCAAGCTGGTCACACTACATTGTAACCAATGTAAGAGCTTGTAAAAGCAACAAAAACAACTTTGTACAAGAGGTCAAGGCATGTTATCAAAGGTGCATCTCGTGGGTGGGTATGCAATTCCAAGAGAAAAACCAGCTCTTGTATAAGGGCATATTTGTCCTAGTGTTACAGGTACAGGAACATGTAATCTGTGGGCATGTCCCAATGTTACAGGTACAGGAACATGTAATCTGTGGGCAGGGCCCAATGTTACAGGTACAGGAACATGTAATCTGTGGGCAGGGCCCAATGTTACAGGTACAGGAACATGTAATCTGTGGGCAGGGCCCAATGTTACAGGTACAGGAACATGTAATCTGTGGGCAGGGCCCAATGTTACAGGTACAGGAACATGTAATCTGTGGGCAGGGCCCAATGTTACAGGTACAGGAACATGTAATCTGAGGGCATGTCCCAATGTTACAGGTACAGGAACATGTAATCTGTGGGCAGGGCCCAATGTTACAGGTACAGGAACATGTAATCTGAGGGCATGTCCCAATGTTACAGGTACAGGAACATGTAATCTGTGGGCAGGGCCCAATGTTACAGGTACAGGAACATGTAATCTGAGGGCATGTCCCAATGTTACAGGTACAGGAACATGTAATCTGAGGGCATGTCCCAATGTTACAGGTACAGGAACGTGTAATCTGTGGGCATGTCCCAATATTACAGGTACAAGAACATGTAATCTGTGGGCAGGGCCTAATGTTACAGGTACAGGAACATGTAATCTGTGGGCATGTCCCAATGTTACAGGTACAGGAACATGTAATCTGTGGGCATGTCCCAATGTTACAGGTACAGGAACGTGTAATCTGTGGGCATGTCCCAATGTTACAGGTACAGGAACATGTAATCTGTGGGCATGTTTCAATGTTACAGTGAGAATAATGTGTTACTTATGGACAGTCCCAGTGTTTCAGGAACATGAACAGGCAATTTGTAGGCGTGTACCAATGTTACAGTGACAGAACTGTGCACCATGCGGGCATGTCCCAAAGTAGGTTATGGTGACAAATACAAAGTAGAAAACTCTCCTCTCCTGGTGTGGCTGAAATGAATGGAGTCACAGCCTCATTCGATATACAGACATAAATACTAACATACTAAAAGCATAAGTGACTCTCTGCCACACGACCCCAGGAACCTGCGAGGGGTAGAACCAGACTGAGGCAGCCTCACTTTGATTGTAGAGTGAGTATAAATTATTTGATTACGACACGTCTACAGAAGAACAGTCTCAAGTCTCATGGCACTCATGTCTCCATCTCTTATCAATACTATCAGTCCAGGCGTATCAAACGTGGCGACAGTGCCCCCTGGTGGTTGGTAGAATCATCACACTCGCTACTGTTTTTCATCGATTGTTTTTAACAAATGTATCCAAAATGTCCTCGGCCATTTTGAGGTTGTTGTGTGACACTCTCAAGGCCTCCACTACTTTGAGTCGATCGTAACCCCGGCCTACGAGTATAGTGACATGCTCCTCGTTTAAACTGCTGACGATTGTCCCGTTGTTTTCCTTGTTCAGGTCTTGGTTCTCTCGCAGACCCTCACGCCGAGCAGGCAGGGGAATATCATTCACATCTCCACTGAAACACACACCAATAATTAACCATACTTGCATGCCAGAGACTTGTACAAAACATAGATCTTACTCATAGACATGCTACAATGTTACCAAATGCATGTTAATATACTCCCACACAGGTTATCCTGTTCAACATTTCAATTTTGTATTTCATTGCAAGTATTGCTACCATGTGCATTCATGCAAATACATGTTGAAGAGTGCTCTTACACCTTCATGTTGTGAGCGAGTGAGTGAGTTAAGTTTTATGCCACACTTAGCAATATTCCAGCTATATGGTCTATAAACAATCGCAACCGGGATACAATGACGTGTCAACCAAGTCAGTGAGCCTGACCACCCGATCCTGTAAGTTGCCTCTTATGACAAGCATGGGTTACTGAAGATCACTTCTATCCCAAGTAGGGGAGATCTCTGTGGTAGGGTAATCCTGTGGGGTGGGCGATCTGTGAGGTCGGCTTGTGATCAATTGGGTAGTGGGGTTTTGGTGGGGTGGGATATCTGTCAGGGAGTTGATTTTCTTGTGTGTGTGAGTTTGAGGTGGAGGTCTGTGACTCTGTGTGTGTGTGTGAGAGAGAAAGAGAAAGCTGTGTGTGAGCTAGGGGTGGAGGTGTGTGTGAGTTTGGGGTGGAGGTGTGTGTGAGTTAGGGGTGGAGGTGTGTGTGAGTTTGATGTGGAGGTCTGTGACTATAGGGGTGGAGGTGTGTGACTTGTCGAGGTGGAGGTGTGTGTGAGTTTGGGGTGGAGGTTTGTGACTGTCGAGGTGGATGTGTTTTGGGTGGATGTGTGTGTGTGTGAGGTGTATGTGCATGAGTTTGGGGTTGATGTGTGTGAGTGTGGGGTGGAGGTGTGTGGTCAATGTGTGTGAGTCTGGGCTGGAGGTGTGTGAGTGTGAGTGGTAGGTGTGGAAGTGTGTGGAGGTGTGTGAGTGTGGGGTGGAGGTGTGTGTGTGCGGTGGAGGTGTATGAGTGTAGGGTGAAGGTGTGTGAGTTTTGGAGTGCAGGTGTGAGTTTTGGGGTAGAGGTGTGTGAGTTTGGGGTGGAAGTGTGTGAGTTTGGGGTGGAGGTGTGAATTTGAGGTGGAGGTGTGTGAATTTGAGGTGGAAGTGTGTGAGTTTGGGGTGGAGGTGTGAATTTGAGGTTGAGGTGTGTGAATTTGAGGTGGAGGTGTGTGAGTGTGGGGTGGAGGTGTGTGAGTTTGGGGTGGAGGTGTGAGTCTTGGGGTAGAGGTGTGTGAGTTTGGGGTGAAGGTGTGTGAGTGTGGGGTGGAAGTGTGTGAGTGTGGGGTGGAAGTGTGTGAGTTTGGGGTGGAGGTGTGAATTTGAGGTTGAGGTGTGTGAATTTGAGGTGGAGGTGTGTGAGTGTGGGGTGGAGGTGTGTGAGTTTGGGGTGGAGGTGTGAGTCTTGGGGTAGAGGTGTGTGAGTTTGGGGTGAAGGTGTGTGAGTGTGGGGTGGAAGTGTGTGAGTTTGGGGTGGAGGTGTGAATTTGAGGTGGAGGTGTGTGAATTTGAGGTGGAGGTGTGTGCACCTGGGGTGGAGGTGTGTGAGTTTGAGGGTGGAGGTGTGTGAGCCTGGGGTGGAGGTTTGTGAGCTTGGGGTGGAAGTCTGTTACTGTGGGGTGGAAGTCTGTTACTGTGGGGTGGAAGTCTGTTACTGTGGGGTGGAGGTGTGTGACTAAGGGGTAGATGTGTGGGGCTATAGGTCAGAGAGGGCTCAGGGTTGCTGTACTTACTGTGGCTGAACAGGAGCTGGCTGTTTGGCCCTTGGCATATGGGCAGGTGGGCAGGCATACTCACTGGGAAGTCGATGTAACTGAGGGGGAACGTTTCCTGTCACGGAGAAAATAGTTCCTGTAAAATGTGAGTGAAGCATAAGGAAAGCATTAAGCAAAGCATGCTGGGTAAGCAAATAAGGACAAGCTCAGGCATGCAACTCAAAAACTGCAGAGTCAAGCATAACAAAAACTCAACATAAGAAACAGAACTTTTACAAAATGGATACTTGGCAAGAAAACAAAGTTAAAAATGTTATACATTTGTACACATCAAAATACAAAATTTCTATGGAGAATTCAATATGTGCAAGAAGACTTCATGTTTTGAAAACATTACATTAAACAAACAAGAGGTTTGCTAAGTGCATGATAAAATCTTCCAGCTATGCTTTGTTGCTGAACCAGTGAGAATACAAGCTGTAAGTTCCCGTTATTTGTCTGGCATTAATGTCTACGTCCTACAGAGGCATTGAGCAGATCCTGAGAGGGAGTGTGTGATGATCACCGTTATGTCTGGTCAATCAGTGCCCAGTGTACAATCTGGACCAGGCAAACCAGCCATCACAACAATGAAGGACAATGACACACACTCAACCAGGGAAGGGATTCCAGGTACTGGGTGAGTCTATGCACCTCCAGGTACTCAAGGCAAACAAACGAGTTTTGTAACTTCTCTCTGAAACCAACCAATACTCATCATGGCTTGCATGGAGTGTGTGGTATCTGTCCGTCCCCACAACCAGTCAGGGATAGACAAGGTTACAGCATCCTAGTACTGCTAATACTGCCTCCTTACTACTGTCAATGGTGTCTTCCTGCACAGCACAGCACTTCCGGGTACCCTGGCTGGTGCTTGGCATAGAGAATATTAACAGGGACTGTTGCTGGACATATCTCAGTAGGGTACCCAGGTTGAAGGTACCACAGTGGGAGACCAGAGCATATCACATGTAATACACAGTAGAGCATATATCACACGCAGGCCTAGGAGTGGTATAATACTTGCACACTGAATTACACAGTAGTGCATAGATCACACATGAAGGCCTAGGAGTGGTATAATACTTGCACACTGTATTACACAGTAGTGCATATATCACACACGCAGGCCTAGGAGTGGTATAATACTTGCACACTGAATTACACAGTAGTGCATATATCACACACGCAGGCCTAGGAGTGGTATAATACTTGCACACTGAATTACACAGTAGTGCATATATCACACGCAGGCCTAGGAGTGGTTCAATACTTGCACACTGAATTACACAGTATTGCATATATCACACACGCAGGCCTAGGAATGGCATAATACTTGCACACTGAATTACACAGTAGTGCATATATCACACACACAGGCCTAGGAATGATATAATATTTTCACACTTTATTATACAGTCGTGCATATATCACACATGCAGGCCTAGGAGTGGTATTATATTTGCACACTTTATTATACAGTCGTGCATATATCACACACGCAGACCTAGGAGTGGTATAATACTTGCACACTGTATTACACAGTAGTGCATATATCACACACGCAGGCCTAGGAGTGGTATAATACTTGCACACTGTATTACACAGTAGTGCATATATCACACATGAAGGCCTAGGAGTGGTTTAATACTTGCACACTGAATTACACAGTAGTGCACATATCACACATGAAGGCCTAGGAGTGGTTTAATACTTGCACACTGAATTACACAGTAGTGCACATATCACACATGCAGGCCTAGGAGTGGTATAATACCTGTGTTGTACGATAGTGTACATATTACACACACATTCTCAGAGTGGTATAATACCTGTGTTGTACGATAGTGTACATATTACACACACATTCTCAGAGTTGTATGATATCTGTGTTGTACGATAGTGTACATATGACACACACACACACACACACACACATCCTCAGAGTGGTATAATACCTGTGTTGTACGATAGTGTACATATTACACACACATTCTCAGAGTGGTATAATACCTGTGTTGTACGATAGTGTACATATCACACACATTCTCAGAGTGGTATAATACCTGTGTTGTTCACTAGTGTACATATCACACACATCCTCAGTGGTATAATACCTGTGTTGTACAATAGTGTACATATCACACACATTCTTAAAGTGTTATAATACCTGTGTTGTACGATAGTGTACATATTACACACACATTCTCAGAGTGGTCTGATATCTGTGTTGTACGATAGTGTACATATCACACACATTCTCAGAGTGGTATGATATCGGTGTTGGACAATAGTGTACATATCACACACACTCACACACACACACACATTCTCAGAGTGGTATAATATCTGTGTTGTACGATAGTGTACATATCACACACATTCTCAGAGTGGTATAATACCTGTGTTGTACGATAGTGTACATATCACACACATTCTCAGAGTGGTATAATACCTGTGTTGTACGATAGTGTACATATCACACACACATTTTCAGAGTGGTATGATATCTGTGTTGTACGATAGTGTACATATGACACACACACACACATCCTCAGAGTGGTATAATACCTGTGTTGTACGATAGTGTACATATTACACACATTCTCAGAGTGGTATAATATCTGTGTTGTACGATAGTGTACATATTACACACATTCTCAGAGTGGTATAATATCTGTGTTGTACAATTGTGTACATATCACACACATCCTCAGTGGTATAATACCTGTGTTGTACAATTGTGTACATATCACACACATCCTCAGTGGTATAATACCTGTGTTGTACGATAGTGTACATATCACACACATTCGCAGAGTGGTATAATACCTGTGTTGTACGATAGTGTACATATTACACACACTTTCTCAGAGTGATATAATACCTTTGTTGTACAATAGTGTACATAAAACACAGAGTCACACACAATAGTGCACACACACACACACACACACACACACACACACACACACACACACACACACACACACACACACACACACACACACACACACACAATCACCTCAGAGTGGTATAATAATGTACGGGAGTGTATACATCACACAGTGGTATAAGACATGAATGACACATCAATAGTACACCACACACAGACAACACAGACAAGATGCAGGAGGTTATCTGCAGCAGCTCAGAGCACTTTCCAGTATGTAAGCACAGCAGACAACAGCTCTCACAGATCTCACATGGTTTATACAAACAATACATACTGCAGACAGAATGAGAAATCAATGTAGAAGTGGGAGGGGAATAAAGCAAGTAGCTGCCACAGATGTACATTTGTTCCAGAAACAAGATAAGTGCCCACTTTTCTCGGTCTCCCACACTAGCTTTCATTGCCTGCAAAGTCTTCCATCAAACTAATCCCTTACATTAACCCTGTTGTGTGGAATAACTCAGTACCATATGACCCCATCTTTTACCATCCATCAACTACCAACTACGTCCAATAATGACATTCCTGCTGGGGTACATCTTCCCCTCAAACTGCCCACTGCCACTGAACGCCCCACCCCACTGTGTATGGATGCCACCGCTGGGCTGATGTCGTACCTCCCTCGGGTGATGGCGGGGGTTTGGAGATGCCCTCTGACGTGGGGGAGGTGCTTATGAGAGGGTGCACGCCTGGCAGGGGTTTGTCGTAGTGGGAGTCCGGCTCGGTGTCCACGGTCTTCACAGTGTGGCCAGGGATGTCGTACCGTAGTTCTGCATAGGACACTCCTGAAACACAGGCTACATCTTAAGACACTTCCACCCTTCCCTCCATACACTCGTGGACCAGCCCCCAACTTGAGTTAATATTCAACTGTCACCTATCCCTCCACTTTGTAGACCAGCACCCAGGTGTCCAACTAGAGTTAATATTCAACTGTCACCTATCCCTCCACTTTGTAGACCAGCACCCAGGTGCCCAACTTGAGTTAATATTCAACTGCCACCTATCCCTCCACTTTGTACACCAGCACCCAGGTGTCCAACTAGAGTTAATATTCAACTGCCACCTATCCCTCCACTTTGTAGACCAGCACCCACATGCCCAACTAGAGTTAATATTCAACTGTCACCTATCCCTCCACTTTGTAGACCAGCACCCAGGTGTCCAACTAGAGTTAATATTCAACTGTCACCTATCCCTCCACTTTGTAGACCAGCACCCAGGTGTCCAACTAGAGTTAATATTCAACTGTCACCTATCCCTCCACTTTGTAGACCAGCACCTAGGTGCCCAACTAGAGTTAATATTCAACTGTCACCTATCCCTCCACTTTGTAGACCAGCACCCAGGTGCCCAAGTAGAGTTAATATTCAACTGTCACCTCTCCCTCCACTTTGTAGACCAGCACCCACATGCCCAACTAGAGTTAATATTCAACTGTCACCTATCCCTCCACTTTGTAGACCAGCACCCTGGTGTCCAACTTGAGTTAATATTCAACTGTCACCTATCCCTCCACTTTGTAGACCAGCACCCAGGTGTCCAACTAGAGTTAATATTCAACTGTCACCTATCCCTCCACTTTGTAGACCAGCACCCAGGTGTCCAACTAGAGTTAATATTCAACTGTCACCTATCCCTCCACTTTGTAGACCAGCACCCACATGCCCAACTAGAGTTAATATTCAACTGTCACCTATCCCTCCACTTTGTAGACCAGCACCCACATGCCCAACTAGAGTTAATATTCAACTGTCACCTATCCCTCCACTTTGTAGACCAGCACCCAGGTGTCCAACTAGAGTTAATATTCAACTGCCACCTATCCCTCCACTTTGTAGACCAGCACCCCGGTGTCCAACTAGAGTTAATATTCAACTGTCACCTATCCCTCCACTTTGTAGACCAGCACCCTGGTGTCCAACTTGAGTTAATATTCAACTGTCACCTATCCCTCCACTTTGTAGACCAGCACCCAGGTGTCCAACTAGAGTTAATATTCAACTGTCACCTATCCCTCCACTTTGTAGACCAGCACCCAGGTGTCCAACTAGAGTTAATATTCAACTGTCACCTATCCCTCCACTTTGTAGACCAGCACCCACATGCCCAACTAGAGTTAATATTCAACTGTCACCTATCCCTCCACTTTGTAGACCAGCACCCAGGTGTCCAACTAGAGGTAATATTCAACTGTCACCTATCCCTCCACTTTGTAGACCAGCACCCAGGTGTCCAACTAGAGGTAATATTCAACTGTCACCTATCCCTCCACTTTGTAGACCAGCACCCAGGTGCCCAACTTGAGTTAATATTCAACTGTCACCTATCCCTCCACTTTGTAGACCAGCACCCAGGTGCCCAACTAGAGTTAATATTCAACTGTCACCTATCCCTCCACTTTGTAGACCAGTACCCAGGTGCCCAACTTGAGTTAATATTCCTCCATTAACCACAATAGGATCCCCGGAGCTTTACAAGGTGTTGAGTATGGTGGTTAGAGGTTGTTAGACATCATGTGAGGAGACGTTAGCCTAACACTAGTGTGATGTTACTTTCTGTACACCGATTTACCAGACACTTGGCTCTCCACAAGTCAACAACGCACTCTGATGTGCATCAGTGTGTCTTGAGGGAGTGGAATATGAGAGGGTGGAGTGTTGGAGCGAGTGGAATATGAAAAAGTGGGGTTTGGGAGAGAGTTGCTGAGTGAGTGAGTGAGTGGGTGAGTGAGTGGGTGAGTGAGAGGTAGCCAGCAGCAGTGTATGTCAGCCAAGTGATCAGGGGTCTGTGAGGACAATTGTATCTAACCTTGGTCCTTCTCTGCGGGCGTCACATTGATGACCGTCCTCTGGGGCACCGTTGGCCGCTGCAGGCGGGGTGTGTCTTCATCATCTGCTGGCGGAGTGGGTGGAAGCTGACGTCTGTTGAAACAACATGTCTCATCACTCAGCACAACAGAGAGGACCTTAATGTTGATCACTGGATTGTCTGGTCCAGACTCAATTATTTACCTACCGCGGCCATATAACTGGGAAATTGCTGAGTGCGTCATTAATCAACAAAACAAGCAACCAAAATCATTGCGAAAACAATATTGCGACACTATTGACAGTGTAGGAAAGATGTAGAAAATCTAGCCTGTCCACAGGACTGGCAGGTCAAATTTTATACCAGTCCTGCCAAAATCTAGCCTGTCCTCCAAATATAAATAAAACACCTTCGGCAGTAAATATTCAAAAAGGTTATAATCATTATATATATGTCATTGGTTTGCTAAAATTGACCCGACATGAGGACGGACTAGATATTTTTTTAACCCGTCCTCCACAAAATTCACCCGTCTCGGACGTTGGGACGGGCTATCTTTCCTACACTGATATTGCTAATTTGTTTGTGTTGTCGTCACCAATATTCTGGCCCCCTCAGGCAGCCAAAAGAAGCAATACTGGGTCAGACAAATGCAAGATGACCATAAAGAGGAACACCCCATGTCATGGGGGATGGGAGACAACCTACCTCGGGGGTTTTGGCGAAGTGGTAGGGGAGTGAGCAGGGGACATAGTACGAGGGGGAACTGGGGGTGGCACATCTCGTTTTGACGTGTGCGGAGAATCAAACGGGGAACTGCGATCTCTTGTGTTCTGAAATTAGAAAACACCATAGCAGTCAGTTCATTATATCATATCAACATCAGAAATGATTCTTTCTGATGTTTGTCCATATGCATATTAGCGATTTTCAGTGCTCATTGATCGATGCTGGTCAGTCTGTTATGACTGGTCAGTGCTGATCATAGACCATCAGTTCTGACATCTGTGATAATTTGTGTCAGTATCCAAGCTACATGACAGTACTATGACAAGAGATGGCAGACGCAACATCTCGTACTTCTATCTTCGGTCCTACCTCTCCATCTTGTCTCCTTGTCTTACATCAATGCAACCATGGAATAGTGTGTGTTTTTTCAAGTACCATACAGAATAAACTACTCCAAACAAAGGAAGACTATCTAATGAAAAATGTTCACCAAAGGACCTGTTCGTCACGATATGACTGAGATATTGCCGATGTGACGTTAAATGTTAACTCACTCACTCACCCAAAGGACCTGTACCTGTTCAATAAGATCTGAATGGATTTAACACCCACCAGTGTGTAAGAATGCATTATGTCAAGCAGAATCAAAACATTGATAAAATCACATACCAGTGCCATTTGTCTTCAGAAATATTACCGCCATTTGTTTAAAACATTTATTCAAGCTCAAGCTCACAACGAGCACTATGTGGGACATTGAACAACTCACCCTGTCTCGAGGGCTGACTGAGAGGGCATGTAATGTCGTCGTCCCACCATCCTGAAATGCAATGTCACTCATAGAAAATCAATTCTTTCAAAGTGTGCAACTTAACAAACCTTTAGATTAGGGGTGCAACCAGAAGAATACTATTTAATGAAAACAGGTTATTTGAAACATTGAATATTTAAGAGTTTGGTTTTACATTCACCAATGATCCGTCTTGAACATATTACATGTAAGCTTAAATCCACAGATTTATGACTGATATTTGGAAGAACAATCCATGTCATTATGGAACAATGACACATTTTGCTTGCTGAAACATCCCAATTGTGAAGTTCGACAGTCATGATACTAATCACAGGATTGTCTGGTAGAGCTTCAGTTACTTACAGAATGCCCCATATAGCTGGAATACTGCCAACTGTGGCGTTAGACAACAAACAGAGGAACACACATGACCAATACTACACAAGAAGTATCATCTCACATCATCGTCCTCTATCTCCATGTTGTGGTTGTGTCTGGGTTCCACCTTCAGGCTACCAGACGGGTGGAAAGCATCCACTATGACCTGCTCCGTGCCCTTGATCTCAGTACGACAGAACGGACAGCTTTGTCCATCAGAATCCTATAACAGACATAGTGAAGGGATGAGGGAAGGGAGACAAATGGCACAGAGTTACCTCCCTTGGGACAGTTGCAGAAAGTGTTCACTGTTAAAATTTGGTTTTACAACTGAAATATATTTGGACCTTCTACTCTATCCAAATTGATTTTCTATTTATTTTTCTAATCAACAGTGACTGAATGCTGGTAAGACAAAAGTCCATTTAATGAGTGTGTTTGTGGTGGGACTCACCTTCCACTGGGTGAGACAGGGATACAGAAGTGTCCATGTAATGAGTGTGTTTGTGGTGGGACTCACCTTCCACTGGGTGAGACAGGGATACAGAAGTGTCCATGTAACGAGTGTGTTTGTGGTGGGACTCACCTTCCACTGGGTGAGACAGGGGTACAGAGGAGGTGTCCATGTAATGAGTGTGTTTGTGGTGAGACTGACCTGCCACTGGGTGAGACAGGGATACAGAGGTGTCCATGTAATGAGTGTGTTTGTGGTGAGACTGACCTGCCACTGGGTGAGACAGGGATACAGAGGTGTCCATGTTATGAGTGTGTTTGTGGTGAGACTGACCTGCCACTGGGTGAGACAGGGATACAGAGGTGTCCATGTAATGAGTGTGTTTGTGGTGAGACTGACCTGCCACTGGGTGAGACAGGGGGTACAGAGGTGTCCATGTAATGAGTGTATTTGTGGTGAGACTGACCTGCCACTGGGTGAGACAGGGATACAGAGGTGTCCATGTAATGACTGTGTTTTTGGTGGGACTGACCTGCCACTGGGTGAGACAGGGATACAGAGGAGGTGTCCATGTAATGAGTGTGTTTGTGGTGAGACTGACCTGCCACTGGGTGAGACAGGGGGTACAGAGGAGATGTCCACATGGCTCGATGCGGATGTCCTTGTCGTTCTCAGCACAGATCTTGCACAGCTGGAAGGTGGAGCCCATCTCACAGTACAGCTCGTACTGCTCCTGCGTCACCTTGATGTGATCCTCCTGGCTGTCCTGCACCAGGAAACTCAAGTCCGGGTTGATGTGGCGACCGTCGGGATACAGGAAGCTGGCACAAACACAAACTCTGGGGATCACTGGGGTTTTAACACTCAAAACTCGTCATGTTATATTACACACATTAATCAAGGGTCCATGTCACTTAAACCCCCAGGATGGAGAGTGAGTGAGTGAGTATGGTTTTATACTGCCTTTAGCAATATCCAAGCAATATCACGGCTTGAAACACCAGAAAGGGGCTTCACACTTTGTACCCATGTGGGGAATCGAACCCAGGCTTTCCCCGTGATGAGTGAATGCTTTAACAACTAGGCTATCCCACCGCCCCCCCACCCAGGATGAAAAATCATTACAGTTAACTGAAAGGGCCGAATGGACACAGGTCACAAATTCTCATTCTATACTCACAAGCCCTCTCTCTGCCCAGACACAGAGACTAACTCTATACTCCCAAGCCCTCGCTGCCCAGACAAAGAGCCTAATTCTATACTCACAAGCCCTCTCTCTGTCCAGACACAGAGACTAACTCTATACTCACAAGCCCTCTCTCTGCCCAGACACAGAGACTAACTCTATACTCCCAAGCCCTCTCGCTGCCCAGACACAGGGACTAACTCTATACTCACAAGCCCTCTCTCTGCCCAGACACAGGGACTAACTCTATACTCACAAGCCCTCTCTCTGTCCAGACACAGAGACTAACTCTATACTCACAAGCCCTCTCTCTGTCCAGACACAGAGACTAACTCTATACTCACAAGCCCTCTCTCTGTCCAGACACAGGGACTAACTCTATACTCACAAGCCCTCTCTCTGTCCAGACACAGAGACTAACTCTATACTCACTAGCCCTACCTCTGCCCAGACACAGGGACTAACTCTATACTCACAAGCCCTCTCTCTGTCCAGACACAGAGACTAACTCTATACTCACTAGCCCTACCTCTGCCCAGACACAGAGACTAACTCTATACTCACAAGCCCTCTCTCTGCCCAGACACAGAGACTAACTCTATACTCACAAGCCCTACCTCTGCCCAGACACAGAGACTAACTCTATACTCACAAGCCCTACCTCTGCCCAGACACAGAGACTAACTCTATACTCACAAGCCCTCTCTGCCCAGACACAGAGACTAACTCTATACTCACAAGCCCTCGCTGCCCAGACACAGAGAACAACTCTATACTCGCAAGCCCTCTCTCTGTCCAGACAAAGAGACTAACTCTATACTCACAAGCCCTCCCTCTGTCCAGACACAGAGACTAACTCTATACTCACAAGCCCTCTCTCTGTCCAGACACAGAGACTAACTCTATACTCGCAAGCCCTCCCTCTGTCCAGACAAAGAGACTAACTCTATACTCCCAAGCCCTCTCTCTGTCCAGACAAAGAGACTAACTCTATACTCCCAAGCCCTCTCTCTGTCCAGACAAAGAGACTAACTCTATACTCACAAGCCCTCTCTCTGTCCAGACACAGAGACTAACTCTATACTCACAAGCCCTCCCTCTGTCCAGACACAGAGACTAACTCTATACTCACAAGCCCTCTCTCTGTCCAGACAAAGAGACTAACTATATACTCACAAGCCCTCTCTCTGTCCAGACACAGAGACTAACTCTATACTCACAAGCCCTCTCTCTGTCCAGACAAAGAGACTAACTCTATACTCACAAGCCCTCCCTCTGTCCAGACAAAGAGACTAACTCTATACTCACAAGCCCTCCCTCTGTCCAGACAAAGGACTAACTCTATACTCACAAGCCCTCTCTCTGTCCTGACACAGAGACTAACTCTATACTCACAAGCCCTCCCTCTGTCCTGACACAGAGAACAACTCTATACTCACAAGCCCTCCCTCTGTCCTGACACAGAGAACAACTCTATACTCACAAGCCCTCTCTCTGTCCTGACACAGAGAACAACTCTATACTCACAAGCCCTCCCTCTGTCCTGACACAGAGAACAACTCTATACTCACAAGCCCTCCCTCTGTCCTGACACAGAGAACAACTCTATACTCACAAGCCCTACCTCTGTCCTGACACAGAGAACAACTCTATACTCACAAGCCCTCTCTCTGTCCAGACACAGAGAACAACGCTATACTCACAAGCCCTCCCTCTGTCCTGACAGAGAGAACAACTCTATACTCACAAGCCCTCCCTCTGTCCTGACACAGAGAACAACTCTATACTCACAAGCCCTCTCTCTGTCCTGACACAGAGAACAACTCTATACTCACAAGCCCTCCCTCTGTCCTGACAGAGAGAACAACTCTATACTCACAAGCCCTCCCTCTGTCCTGACACAGAGAACAACTCTATACTCACAAGCCCTCTCTCTGTCCTGACACAGAGAACAACCCTATACTCACAAGCCCTCCCTCTGTCCTGACAGAGAGAACAACTCTATACTCACAAGCCCTCTCTCTGGCCGTCCAGCAGCGCCTGACACAGGGACTTGTTCTGAGGGATGGTCTGTAGAATCTGCTTGTCGGACGTCACATAACCAATGGCCCACTGCCCTAGTCTGGTGCAGCTCAGCCGAAACACGTAGCTGTATACAGAAATCATCACAATAACAAAAAACAGAAAAAGAAACGGGAAACTAAAAATATTTCTGTACCTCGAAGCACAACTTAAGCTGTTCACGGCTAATTCACTGAAGACTGAGTCAGTCACTGGTTTGTTCATATAAAGCCAGAAAATTGGTATAAGTGGTGTCAAACATAAAACAAACAAGCAAATTAATAGTTTAGCCAGCTCTTGAAGCATGGCTGGATATCTGGGCCTAGATTTTTGAAGCTCGCTTAGCACTAAGATAGTCGTAAGTCTATGTTAAAGTATGGCACTTACGACTATCTTAGCGTTAAGAGAGCTTCAGGTAACATATTTCATGTCTTCGTTTTTTCACCCATGCTCATTAACTGCCACAAGCCTATTTTAAAGTATGAGGAGTTACAATTACTTTAGCACCACATCTGTCGAAAATCTGTGTTAAAGGTATGGAAGTTATGATCTTCTCCGCACTACGACTGTCGTAAGTCTATGTTAATGTAAAGGAGTTATGATCAACTCAGCACTACGACATGTCGTAAGTCTGTGTTAATGTATAGGAGTTATGATCAACTCAGCACTACGACATGTCGTAAGTCTGTGTTAATGTAAAGGAGTTATGATCAACTCAGCACTACGACATGTCGTAAGTCTGTGTTAATGTATAGGAGTTATGATCAACTCAGCACTACGACTGTCGTAAGTCTATGTTAATGTAAAGGAGTTATGATCAACTCAGCACTACGACATGTCGTAAGTCTGTGTTAATGTATAGGAGTTATGATCAACTCAGCACTACGACATGTCGTAAGTCTGTGTTAATGTATAGGAGTTATGATCAACTCAGCACTACGACATGTCGTAAGTCTGTGTTAATGTAAAGGAGTTATGATCAACTCAGCACTACGACATGTCGTAAGTCTATGCTTAATGTATGGGAGTTATGATCAACTCAGCACTACGACTGTCGTAAGTCTATGTTAATGTAAAGGAGTTATGATCAACTCAGCACTACGACATGTCGTAAGTCTGTGTTAATGTATAGGAGTTATGATCAACTCAGCACTACGACATGTCGTAAGTCTGTGTTAATGTATAGGAGTTCTGATCAACTCAGCACTACGACTGTTGTAAGTAGTGGTGTTCCGATTAATTGAAATAATCGAAGATTGGTCGCAGTGACCAAACGACCAAGCAATCAATCACATTTTCTCATAATCGAACATAAACGATTTTGGAACTGCTGTTTTAGTCTTTGAAACACTTAACGTATGGCACTTACGACTATCTTAGCGCTAAGAGAGCTTCAGGTAACATATTTCATGTCTTCGTTTTTTCACCCATACTCATCAACTGCCACAAGTCTATTTTAAAGTATTAGGAGTTACAATTACTTTAGCACCACATCTGTCGAAAATCTGTGTTAAAAGTATGGAAGTTATGATCTTCTCCGCACTACGACATGTCGTAAGTCTATGCTTAATGTATGGGAGTTATGATCAACTCAGCACTACGACACGTCGTAAGTCTATGCTTAATGTATGGAAGTTATGATCAACTCAGCACTACGACATGTCGTAAGTCTGTGTTAATGTATAGGAGATATGATCAACTTAGCACTACGACTGTTGTAAGTAGTGGTGTTCCGATTAATTGAAATAATTGAAGATTGGTCGCAGTGACCAAACGACCAAGCAATCGATCACATTTTCTCATTATCGATTAAAAATGATTTGGGAACTGCTGTTTTAGTCTTTGAAACACTTGACGATGAAACATATCTTTGAAGTTGTCAGGGCCTGAAAACGTGTTTAATACTTAGAAAACTCACTTCACTAACTGAAAAGCCATGACTGAATATTTCTCTAAGACTCAAGGAAGTTTATGTTCATGATATATTAGTCATCACTTTAAAGTAGCAAGTTGCATCATGTTATACATATCTGCAATAACAACCTGGATCGGAATTTTTTTTTCGATGATTGTTCGTTGGTAATGAAGCAATCATCAATTGTGAGATTTCAACCAATTCCCAACACTAGTTGTAAGTCTATGCTTAATGTATGGAAGTTATGATCTACTCAGCACTACGACTGTTGTAAGTCTATGCTTAATGTATGGAAGTTATGATCTACTCCACACTACGACTGTTGTAAGTCTATGCTTAATGTATGGAAGTTATGATCTACTCAGCACTACGACTGTTGCAAGTCTATGCTTAATGTATGGAAGTTATGATCAACTGAGCACTACGACTGTTGTAAGTCTATGCTTAATGTATGGAAGTTATGATCTACTCAGCACTACGACTGTTGTAAGTCTATGCTTAATGTATGGAAGTGATGATCTACTCAGCACTACGACTGTTGTAAGTCTATGCTTAATGTATGAAAGTTATGATCTACTCAGCACTACGACTGTTGTAAGTCTATGCTTAATGTATGGAAGTTATTATCTACTCAGCACTACGACTGTTGTAAGTCTATGCTTAATGTATGGAAGTTATGATCTACTCAGCACTACGACTGTTGTAAGTCTATGCTTAATGTATGGAAGTTATGATCTACTCAGCACTACGACTGTTGTAAGTCTATGCTTAATGTATGGAAGTGATGATCTACTCAGCACTACGACTGTTGTAAGTCTATGCTTAATGTATGGAAGTTATGATCTACTCAGCACTACGACTGTTGTAAGTCTATGCTTAATGTATGGAAGTGATGATCTACTCAGCACTACGACTGTTGTAAGTCTATGCTTAATGTATGGAAGTTATGATCTACTCAGCACTACGACTGTTGTAAGTCTATGCTTAATGTATGGAAGTTATTATCTACTCAGCACTACGACTGTTGTAAGTCTATGCTTAATGTATGGAAGTTATGATCTACTCAGCACTACGACTGTTGTAAGTCTATGCTTAATGTATGGAAGTTATGATAAACTCCACACTACGACTGTTGTAAGTCTATGCTTAATGTATGGAAGTTATGATCTACTCAGCACTACGACTGTTGTAAGTCTATGCTTAATGTATGGACGTTATGATCAACTCAGCACTACGACTGTTGTAAGTCTATGCTTAATGTATGGAAGTTATGATCTACTCAGCACTACGACTGTTGTAAGTCTATGCTAAATGTATGGAAGTTATGATCAACTCAGCACTACAACATGTCGTAAGTCTATGCTTAATGTATGGGAGTTATGATCAACTTAGCAGTACGACATGTCGTAAGTCTATGCTTAATGTTTGGGAGTTATGATCAACTCAGCACTACGACATGTCGTAAGTCTATGCCTAATGTATGGAGGTTATGATCAACTCAGCACTATGACTGTCGTAAGTCTGTGTTAATGTATAGGAGATATGATCAACTCAGCACTACGACTGTTGTAAGTCTATGCTTAATGTATGGGAGTTATGATCAACTCAGCACTAGGACTGTTGTAAGTCTATGCTTAATGCAGGGCTCCAGATAACTTTTGGGGGTGCGAGTGTACTTACACATCATATTGCAAGTGGAGGTGTACTGAGAATTTTGAAGGAGTACTGACATGTTTTTGTGTGAGCGAGTTGGTGATGTGGTTTGTCTGGACGATTCATCGATCACTATTTCCAACCATGTGTTTGTATTTGAAGACGCGTGAGAAATAACTGAGCAAATGTGTGATGCGCGAAATGTCAGGTCCGACTGGATATAAATAGGAACAGTGTAGTTTTTAGCCAATCGAAAAATAGTGACGCAAATCGTTGCATGGCAACGCAAGGGATTCCTACTGTCGGGGTTTCCTCGTGTGTAAAATCGTGTTTCGCAAAAGAAACTTGACAAGTATTTATCCGAAATAGATTTCCATTTGCACGATACGCACGGAAATTAAATGTTAGACGTACAAAGATATTTATGTGCGTACACGATACGCTTGAAATCTTATATTATGTCGTGCTTAATTGATTTTGAGGCGTACATTACGCCTTTACGCCCCTTATCTGTAGCCCTGTTAATGTATGAGAGTTATGATCAACTCAGCACTACGACATGTCGTAAGTCTATGCTCAATGTATGGGAGTTATGATAAACTCAGCACTACGACATGTCGTAAGTCTATGCTTAATGTTTGGGAGTTATGATCAACTCAGCACTACGTCTGTCGTAAGTCTATGCTAATGTTTGGCAGTTACGATTAACGCAGTGCTATGGAAGTTGCTGTCTTATCCCTGAGTACATTTTGAGGAAAGTTACTCTGCTTATCATGCTGTACACACCTCCCTGGTTTGTTGATGTAGTTCTTTAGTCTGGCCTTCACTTCATCATACGTGAGAAATGCGACGTAGCCAGGATGTGTGACGGCCAAAACATTCCAGTTGCGAAGCAAATTATTCCACGGCTGAAACAATCTGGAACAAGACATTGCCGATATTAAAACAGATATAGAGAAATTAATCAGGTGAGAAGCAAGATGAAACATGACAGAAGCAAACGCAAGATGTTTACAAAATATAAGTAATGAGTAATAAAAAATATATTAATTATCAAATTTGACATGGATATAGAAGGCATGTTCTAAATTGAAATACAACTCATAGATCTGTCATACCAGGTGCTATAACTCCAACATCAATATATCGTACCTTGTGAAGACGTCAAACTCAAACAATGATATGTAGTCATTACATGTAAGGTCGATGGTGGACTTGAGTGCCATGGCCTCCAGTGAGGTGCTGATAGAGTGAGTCTCATTAAGTGTGCTGCGGAAATCTTTCCATGACACAATGATTCTGAAACAGAAGAAGATGATTGTCACTTGTGTGTCTGATTTAGTGCAATGTCCAAAAACTGCCTAAGAAATTTGCCATTTTGAAGACGAGTCAAGAGGACAAGGAAAAACCTGATCTCACTAGTTCTCAGGATATGAAACTAGTCCTGCTTGAACCAGACAAAAACATATACAAATCCTGTCAGTGTTATTCCATTCAATAATATACCAAATTTGGAAGTATCATCAGATTTCTACAAGACCTTCACCTAATCTAGGACTAGCCAACCAGTATCAATCCTGAAGGCTGTGGGCCAGTCTTCTAAAGAAAGGTAGGACTTGGTTTCTTGAGCTCTGCTGCTCAATAGTTCTAGGGCCACTTAATATCTGCCCTTGAAATGACTAAAATGGGCTAATGACCCCTTCATACACAATTTCAACCTCTGAGAGTTCCCACAGAATGTCTGATATACTGTTGGCTGTACACTATGACAAAACTGGGGAAATACAGGATACATATCATATAATGACCTCCTCGACACCTTTACTTACTACACATAAAGGCAATATTAGGACTTAACTCACCCAGTGTTTAATGTATTCATCTGTTACAGACATCTACATGACCACAGTATTATCAGCCCTTAACCCCACCCAGTGTTTAATGTATTCATCTGTTACAGACATCTACATAACCACAGTATTATCAGCTCTTAACCTCACCCAGTGTTTAATGTATTCATCTGTTACAGACATCTATATAACCACAGTATTATCAGCCCTTAAACACACACACACACACACCCCCCCCCCCCCGTGTTTAATGTATTCATCTGTTACAGACATCTACAAAACCACAGTATTATCAGCCCTTAACCTCACCCAGTGTTTAATGTATTCATCTGTTACAGACATCTACATGACCACAGTATTATCAGCCCTTAACCCCACCCAGTGTTTAATGTATTCATCTGCTACAGACATCTATATAACCACAGTATTATCAGCCCTTAACCCCACCCAGTGTTTAATGTATTCATCTGCTACAGACATCTACAAAACCACAGTATTATCAACCCTTAACCCACCCAGTATTTAATGTATTCATCTGTTACTGACATCTACACAACCACAGTATTATCAGCTCTTAACCTCACCCAGTGTTTAATGTATTCATCTGTTACAGACATCTACAAAACCACAGTATTATCAACCCTTAACCCACCCAGTATTTAATGTATTCATCTGTTACAGACATCTACAAAACCACAGTATTATCAACCCTTAACCCACCCAGTGTTTAATGTATTCATCTGTTACAGACATCTACACAACCACAGTATTATCAGCTCTTAACCCCACCCAGTGTTTAATGTATTCATCTGTTACAGACATCTACAAAACCACAGTATTATCAACCCTTAACCCACCCAGTGTTTAATGTATTCATCTGTTACAGACATCTACACAACCACAGTATTATCAGCTCTTAACCCCACCCAGTGTTTAATGTATTCATCTGTTACAGACATCTATATAACCACAGTATTATCAACCCTTAACCCACCCAGTGTTTAATGTATTCATCTACAACAGACATCTATATAACCACAGTATTATCAGCTCTTAACCCACCCAGTGTTTAATGTATTCATCTGTTACAGACATCTATATAACCACAGTATTATCAGCTCTTAACCCCACCGAGTGTTTAATGTATTCATCTGTTACAGACATCTACATGACCACAGTATTATCAGCCCTTAACCCCACCCAGTATTTAATGTATTCATCTGTTACAGACATCTACATAACCACAGTATTATCAGCCCTTAACCCCACCCAGTGTATAATATCAAGGAAAACATGAACTTCCTTGTGTATGTGATACTGGCTGAGCGTTATGAGATGATAGATCACGCTCGTTATTACACCCAGACTCAACAGTTTTCCTCATCCTGCTCAAGTAATCCATACCCCTGAACAGTACACGTGATTTCTTGTAACACACATTAAACTTACAGACTACCATGACCCAAACTAGGAGGATACTAGCATCTGAAGCCCCATTACATGTAGTTATATAACATCTATGACAAGGAGTGAGCGAGTGAGTTGGGTATAAAGCTGCTTAAAGTTTTCCTGTTTACATCACAGAGCGTCAGCATACTGCTGGAGGAGAACCTGAAGTCATGCAGGGCTTAAACATTGAAAATAGCGGTGTAGCCAAACCCAGAAACCAAGGAACAATATTCAATATCTCATGCAGAAGTTAAGGGGTTAATCACTCATTGACTCATTTCTTATTGAAACGACAATTCACTTTCATGTCTCCATGTTTTTACTGTCATTTACATGTCATCCTGACAAAACCTGATTAGAATACTGAGTCAGTGAGTGAAATCGAATAGAAACAACCACCAATTGATGATCAACTGATGACCATTCATTATTGACTGACTGACTGAGTTTGGTTTTACGCCGCTTTTAGCAATATTCCAGCAACATCACGGCGGGGGACACCAGAAATGGGCTTCACACATTGTACCCATGTGGGGATTCGAACCCGGGTCTTTGGCGTGACGAGCGAACACTTTAACCACTAGGCTACCCCACCGCCCCTCCATTTATTATTGGGAAATAAAAAATGACGTGTAGAGAAATGTCTCTCGCCATTATATTTGACATAAATAGCAACATCTATCATGGCTGAACGCCAAAATGATGATGAATTATTTCCTGCATTGGCTTCGATGACAACACATGAAAGCAGTGCTATAGCTCCTCCTGGCCTCCCATCCATGATACCAAGGTACTTGGGTAGCCTAGCAGTTGAAACATTCATCTCACACCCAGGGTTCATGTCCCCACCTGGGTACAACAGGTGAAGCCCGTATCTAGAGTCTAGTGGCTTCACCCAACTGTAGTACATAAGACATGCAGTAGAATAGCCTTGTGGTAAGGTGTTTGCCAGTCCTGACATGGACCAGGGTTCAGTTCTAACATGTTCATTGTGAGACTCCATTTGTGGGGTACCCTGGAGATTCTTTGCTCAATCTATCATGATTCTGGAAATTACTTTTTTACGAATTATGATTGGTCTGTCTGGGGTATCAGCGCGCAAGAATCGTTTTTATGTCTGTTTCCCCATGAGAGATAATGTTTATAATGAATAGTACCGGAACACTCAGAACCTCACACTTTGCAGCTCATTCCAAATTCAAATTCTCGTGGACAAACCTACAGGTAACATTACTCTCCTAACTGACTGCTTTCAGACCAATGGCTGTTCTTGAAATGACAAATTCTTGACACTCCTTGTTACATGTTGCAAGGAAGGCAGTACTGCCTGGTTTCGCTTCCACCATCAAGGATTATTTGAATACTGACATTCCTCTGGCAAACAGTATCATTTCCCTGTCTGAAATAACTGATTTTATCTACTCACATATGACCACACCTCTAAACTATAGGACACACAGGAAAGTAGGAAACAAAGTGAGTGAGTGAGTGAGTGAGTGAGTGAGTGAGTGAGTGAGTGAGTGAGTGAGTGAGTGAGTGAGTGAGTGAGTGAGTGAGTGAGTGAGTGAGTGAGTGAGTAAGTAAGTTGTGTTTTACGTCACCTTTAGCAATATTCACATTGGATGTATGACTCAATGGGCAGATATGCAACACAAGTGTGATAAGGGAGTCTATTTAAACAAAGAAAAGCCTGTAAATCTGATAGACAGCTTGTTGTAGTGGTGTAACACAAAGTGACTACTAGGTGTAAATCTGATAGCTTGTTGTAGTGGTGTAACACAAAGTGACTACTAGGTGTAAATCTGATAGACAGCTTGTAGTGGTGTAACACAAAGTGACTACTAGGTGTAAATCTGATAGACAGCTTGTTGTAGCGGTGTAACACAAAGTGACTACTAGGTGTAAATCTGATAGACAGCTTGTTGTAGCGGTGTAACACAAAGTGACTACTAGGTGTTAATCTGATAGCTTGTTGTAGTGGTGTAACACAAAGTGACTACTAGGTGTAAATCTGATAGATAGCTTGTTGTAGTGGTGTAACACAAAGTGACTACTAGGTGTAAATCTGATAGACAGCTTGTTGTAGCGGTGTAACACAAAGTGACTACTAGGTGTAAATCTGATAGCTTGTTGTAGTGGTGTAACACAAAGTGACTACTAGGTGTAAATCTGATAGACAGCTTGTTGTAGTGGTGTAACACAAAGTGACTACTAGGTGTAAATCTGATAGCTTGTTGTAGCGGTGTAACACAAAGTGACTACTAGGTGTAAATCTGATAGACAGCTTGTAGCGGTGTAACACAAAGTGACTACTAGGTGTAAATCTGATAGACAGCTTGTTGTAGCGGTGTAACACAAAGTGACTACTAGGTGTAAATCTGATAGACAGCTTGTTGTAGCGGTGTAACACAAAGTGACTACTAGGTGTAAATCTGATAGACAGCTTGTTGTAGTGGTGTAACACAAAGTGACTACTAGGTGTAAATCTGATAGACAGCTTGTTGTAGCGGTGTAACACTAAGTGACTACTAGGTGTAAATCTGATAGACAGCTTGTTGTAGCGGTGTAACACAAAGTGACTACTAGGTGTAAATCTGATAGCTTGTTGTAGCGGTGTAACACAAAGTGACTACTAGGTGTAAATCTGATAGACAGCTTGTTGTAGTGGTGTAACACAAAGTGACTACTAGGTGTAAATCTGATAGACAGCTTGTTGTAGCGGTGTAACACAAAGTGACTACTAGGTGTAAATCTGATAGACAGCTTGTTGTAGTGGTGTAACACAAAGTGACTACTAGGTGTAAATCTGATAGCTTGTTGTAGCGGTGTAACACAAAGTGACTACTAGGTGTAAATCTGATAGACAGCTTGTTGTAGTGGTGTAACACAAAGTGACTACTAGGTGTAAATCTGATAGACAGCTTGTTGTAGCGGTGTAACACAAAGTGACTACTAGGTGTAAATCTGATAGACAGCTTGTTGTAGCGGTGTAACACAAAG